CCCCCCGCCAAATTCCCTCTTCTTGTGCTTTTCTCTATTTTGGCCTGAAACAGAGGGCATTATTTAGAGAATGGCTGTTGTTCCCGATGCATATGCCAAAATAAAACATTTTCCCAGATGTTCTTTCCTTCAGAAGAAAAGTGAAGTCTTAAGTCACTCATTAGTAATTAGATACTTTTTTGCAGGGTCTGGAGTCCACCTAGGTTCAAGCAGGAGGTTCCTGTAGGAACTTCTCACAAAACAAGTTTTTCTTCCCTTGGGACATTACTCCAAATGATTCTTTGTAGAGGTGTTTGAAGTTGGTCATGTTTTAGAGCCATCTAACTTGACCTTTTGTCACTTATGTTTCAATGAATTGCCAGCGTTGGACTCCCCTTTTAGATTCCTTATCAAGCCTCCAGTTCTGCATGGAGCTGGCTCAAATGGAAGGCGCACATTGTGGCATGATCCAGGCCAGTCTTTGTCTACCCAGATGAGCTGTTGTTGACACTATGGATTTTGATACTACTTTCCTCCCTTCTATATGTCGTTTCACCCATTGTATGGCAGTAATAGTTGTATTTTGGATACTCTGATGCAGGTTGTTGTTGCCTATGATGATGCCTATCTAAAATAAGCTCACCATGTTTGCAGGTTACTAGCAAGCTTGGATAGGCTTCGTTTTGCCAATAGTTTGTCTTGTTTCTTTAAAGTACTGCTGCAAGTAAAATAATCCCAAACTTTTTTGAGGAGGTGTGAGAAATGGTCACTGGTTGATCATGATGGATGTGAAGTATTTCAGGCACTTTTGACTGTAGGGCAAGGCCATTGGGTTTGTTTGTGATCAGCTGATTAAATCAGGCCAAAGCACTTCATCTGACTTAAGTTAGATATTGACAAGTGTGTTCAAATTAATAAATTGAAGACTTATAGTATATATTCATTTCTGTTAGTGATAAATAGGTAGAGTGAATTTCATTGGCTTGTAGCAAGGCTTCCCTTTGCTTGTGTCAGCACAAGAGGTTGCAGTTTTGCGAGATAGTCAAGGTCAGTAGTGTCAGGCTATGCAGAGATGTTTTGTTTTGCCTTTCTTGTCATCTGTAGCTGTGCTATCAATTGTTTTGTTCCAGCATCTTTCTTTGGAAATCCTTATTTGTATCTTATTTGCATATTTTCTTTGAAGTATTCCTAAAATTGTGGAGTAAAAAGTGCTCATAAAGCATAGTTACTAGTGCTAAAGCATCCATTTGCTTATGGGTTACTTCCTAAATAAACTTTGGTGATGTTGACCTGTGGAGCTGAATTGGCACTTGTAAACTCAATAGAACACTTGAAATCTGTAATCATCTTACATATCTGCTCACTCACCTTCCCAGTGGACTGGAGAGGTGAATGGTACAAGGCTAAAACCCATGGGCTGAGATAAGAACATTTCAAATGTTGGAGTGAAGAAACATGTGATAATAATAGAGAGGAATAAACCCCAAAAGGCAAGTGATGCTCAATACAATTGCTCAGAGCCCACTGACCCATGCCCCACCTGTCCCGCAAGAGTGATTGGCCCCTCTTGGCCAGCTCCCCCAGTTTGTAGACTGAGCAGAACATTCTGTGGTACAGAATATTCCTCTGGCCAGTTTGGGTCAGCTGCCCTGACCATGCTCCCCTCCAGCTTGTATAGCTGACTACTGCAGGACACTGAAAAGTCCCTGACTTGGGGTATGAATGGCTTGGCACCAGACATCAGTGTGTTATCAACATTATACTCACACTAAATCCAAACCACATCTCTTAACACCTACTGAGAAGAAAATTTACTCTGTCCTTGCTGAAACCAGGACAGCAGGAAATCCTGTTCAAAGGAAGGAATACCAAGATTGTGTTTCTGTGGAAGCTTTCTGATGCGGTAGATAGTCTTCCAAACACTGTTCCCATTGGTCTTGTCTCTGCCGGAGAGTAGAGATACGGAAATCTCTGTTTCTGTTGTTTTAGTGATAACTTTAAAGCCTGATGTGTTTTCCTCTGACTGCAGCTGTGTTCATGGGTTCAGTGTGATCACCCTGAAGATGGCTATGAAAGTGTGTTTTGTGGTTATTAACAGTGTGGACAGCTATATATTTTATGTGTGGGAAGTACCTATGTGTCTGTTCTTGGAAGGCTGAAAATACGAAGAAATATATTCTTTTTGGTCAGCTGTTGGCTGTATGTGAGGGTTTTGTGCAAACTGAAACATGTTGATAAAACTGGTTTCTGAGGTCTTGGTCTCTTCATTGAACAACCTAGAGGAGTAACAAATTCCATCAACTATTTCTCCATGTCTTTGCTGTTAACCTTATGGTGGATGTGGTTCATCTATATTTGAAAAAATTGTTAGATTTTGAAGTTAGGTTGCCAGCTTGGGCATGAAGTGGAGATACGGCATTTATGTCACCAGACAGTGTATTATAATGATTTTTATTAGCTGCTTAAGTTTTTCTCACCGTCTGTTTCAGTGTTGAGGCATATAACTGATGGCTTCCAAATGGGAACTGCTTAAAAGAGGTGGCAGTTAAGAGGTTGGAAACGAAACATGTCTCTTGAGATTGTGCTGAAGTGGTAGCTGGGTTCATTATTTTAGTGTTAATTTGGAAAGGTGGCATGGTACAGTGGTGTCAGAAGACTTTCTCTGGATTAGTAGCAGTTGCACCTGTTGGATGTTAGCCAGGATCTGGAAGCATTTTTCTGTCACAAATAACTTCTGCAATAGGACTGTGTGCATGGGGGAGACTCACCTTGTTCATAACGTCGTTCATGTCTTGTTGCCCAGAGCGGCTGTGGCTACCGCATTCCCAGAAGTGTTCAAGGCTAGGTTGGATAGGGCTTGGAGCAAGGTGTCCCTACCCATGGCAGGAGGATTAGAATGAAATTAGCTTTGAGGTCCCTTCCAACTCAGACTGTTCTGTGATTCTATGGTAATCCTCATCTAGCCATATTTACTTATAGGCAGAATTTAGTTGCTGTGAAAAGACCTGTCAGTGTGCTGTATAAGGACTTCCATGAACTGTTGACTGGGTCATAGGCTGGTTCATTGGATCATCATGTTCTCTGTCATGTCTGTGTAGCTGCGGTGTGTTTTAGATCATAGTGAGCTGCAGTTTGGGACAGACTGGCTGCTGCATGGCTGCCTCTGGCAGACAGTAAATCACTCGTTCCTAGTCTGCTGTCAGCCAGACTGTTGTGTTATACCCATTTGACTGGATTTGTTTAAAATGTAGTTGAGATTCTTGTTTATTTAAAGGTCTGTGTTTTTTTAAGTGGTGGTGTAACTCTGCTGATTTCTGTTTCATTGCAGAACTACCCATGAGTTCTTGTTTGGTGCCCTTGCTGAACTTGTAGATAATGCCAGGTATGTAGCTGAGACTGCCTAATTTCCGAGGTAACTTTGGTTAAGATTTAATTCACCTATGTATTAGTTGATCTTCAGCAGTTTTCACTTCTAGTAGATTTTACAAGAAAATATAATTTTAATTTAGTATGAGTATTTCACTTGCTCCTCTTACATTGCCACATTCACCCCCTAAAAAAAAATTATTCCTGGAAAGACAGGTTTGAATGAATCCTGGAACAACTCATATTGGAAAGGAAATTGATAACAGACACGAGAGATTTAAAGAAAAAAACTAGTCTGCCTTTTTGTGTAAAGAAATTGCTAAAGTAAATATTACAGGATCTGTGACTCTTCTGATATCTAAAAAATCTAAGTATCAAACATGGCAATGAAAATCAAATCAGAAGCGGGATGCTGAAAAATAGAGCAAGAACTGCTAAAGGAATTTTGACACTTCAGGAGATATGGTCTTTGGAAATGGCAGGTGTTGGGCTACCTGTCTCACCTGTATGTGGAGGGGATTCCTGCTATAGAAGCCTCCCAAGCCTTGCGTGCTTTTGTCTTGAGCTACAGGAGGTACTGTCATGAAGCACTATGGAAGTATTTTGGGATTGTTCTCTCTCAAGTGTGATTTGTCACAGTGTGCATTTTGTGATGTAAGGAGCAGAAACTGGGGCATTTTTGAGTTGGAAAGCTTCTGTTCAGGGAATCAGCTCTTTGTGTGTGTGTGTGCATGCACTCGCATGTGAGCTGGTGCTGTGTTCATGGCTGCAACAAGGTAAGAAAAAGTAGGGCCCTTGGGGGTGGTTTTCCCTTCATCTCTTGGCTCCCCTCTGGCTATACAGGGGTTGTCTTCTGGGAAGAAGTAGCTAGGCTGGGCTGGAGGTACGAAATTGAAACAAAGTGGCTGTGGCATTTGTCAAGTGGGGTTTTGTTACAGCTCTATAGTGCCATGCCTCTAGTCAGCTAAGCAAGGTTGGTTTGGGAAGAGGGCAGTAGTGCTGTACCTGCTATACATTCAAATACAGAGGAGGATGCAGCGTGTGAAGGGCTGCACTTCAGTGATATTGTAATGGCAGTGGCCTGTAACAATCTTGAATGTATTGGAATGAAGCTTTATGTGGAGTTACTAAACCTTTTGTAGGCAGCTCGACAGAAAAACTATAGATGTTGTTTGTTTTGTACAGGAGGGAGCTCAGAAGTGTGTACTCATTTGATTCCCAGCCCCAGAATGACTTTTGTTAGAATGCCACTGGTACTTCCTGTCACCAGACCTGTTTGTGTGCTAGCAATGTCTTATGCTGGAGTTGATGTTCAGATAAACAAAATGTAGGACAATGTTTTCTGTCACTGATGACTGTGGGGCCTCTGTGGACTTTGATCTATACAGCCAGTTATTTTGGAAATGCTTGTGTATGTCTGGATTTTTAGCTTCATTTCTGTTTAATCTATACAGCCAGTTATTTTGGAAATGCTTGTGTATGTCTGGATTTTTAGCTTCATTTCTGTTTAATGTTTGGATATCAATTGCGGTTTTATTTCTTTGTAGAGATGCAGATGCCACAAGAATAGACATTTATACTGGTAAGTCACTCATGCTGCTACCTTGCATGTCAGCAATTAAATCAGTAGTTAACTTGGATTTAGGCTGCAAATGTATGTTGTCCTTGATTGAATAAGAGCGAGGGTGCTTATGCCCAATCCTGGGATCAGTACTGGGCCCCTCAAGACAAGAAAGATATTGAGGGGTGGAGCATGTCCAGAGAAGGGTAAGGGAGCTGAAGAAGGGGCTGAAGCACAAGTCTGATGAGAAGTAGCTAAGGAAGCTGGGGAGCTCAGCCTGGAGAAAAGGAGGTTTATGGGAGGCCACCTTGCTCCTACAAGTCCTTGACAGAAGAGTGCCGCCAGGTAGGGGTTGGGCTCTTCTCCCAGGTAATAAGTGACAGGAATAAGAGAAAAGAGCCACAAGTTGTGCCAGGAGAAGTTTAGATTGGATATTAGGGAAAATTTCTTCACTGAAAATGTAGTCAGACACTGGAACAGGCTGCCCAGGGCAGTGGGGGAGTCACTATCTACTCATATTTAAAAAATGTGTAGATCTGGTGTTTAGGGACATAGTTTAGTGAACTCAGCTATGTTACATTAGTGGTTGGACTTAAGGGTCTTTTCCAACCTGAATAATTCTATTGTTCTACCATTTCTTCTGTGCCATAGTGCCTTTTGTCTTTCAAAAAGGAGTACCTTTACAAATATATTGGGGAAGCAATTAAGTCAGCCTTCACCTGGGGTCGGGTGAAGTGAGTTGCTCTTTGTAGTGAATGCTAAAAAACTCCACTGACACAATACAGCTTTGTAGTGAAGAAGTTCTTAGTCATTCTGTAAAAATCTGGTGCTCTTTCTTAATTTTTAGCCATATTGCAGGTTTAAAAGTCCTATTTCTTGTGTTACTTTTGTTGTTAACACTGATCCCATTTTATGGAACTTTAAACTTCTGCTTATGGGAACAGTGAATAACTCTTCTCTTGCAGAGCGACGAGAGGACCTACGAGGAGGATTCATGCTATGTTTTTTAGATGATGGAACAGGAATGGATTCAAGTAAGTGACAGAAAGTTACATCTGCATTTGCAAGCTGAGGTTTCATGTTTTGGTTTAAGTTGAATTAACAGCTTAGTTCCATTAAAAGGGACATGTTCCATGCCTGTATACATGTTTCTGCCTCTCCACTTGCTCTTTCACACCATATTACATATCAAGCCATTTACCTCTTCCATTGCAGAAGACTAATCTGGTCAAAAGAAAATTGTTTTGCTGCATTATAGAGTTGGGTCAGCCTGACTTGAAGTTTCCCCGTACACTGAAGTTGGCCTTGGGGCTGAAGGGAGAATAGCAGAGCAAGAAGGGGAACAAGCACAAGGTTTGATGGCATAAGCCTTTTCCCCATCTGGCTTCCAGATGATCAGTGTATCTCTACTCTAACCAGAAAGTGTGCCATGGCAGAAATTAAGGTTCTGCTTTGAAAACAGTTTGCCATTGTTTCATCACGGACATTGTGTTTGAGATCAATACTGGACAATATAAAACCTTAGTAATATGAGAATATAGTAAATGTATTTCTGCCTTGTAAGAATTGCTGTAAATTGGTGTTGTATCTAGCAGGAGAAAGCGAAAAGCTTTTCTGCTTTACTTTAGCATCAATGAGCAGCACTGTCAACCCACCTTTGAGTCGTGAGGATTGGTAAGTCATCCTGTGAGGAGTTCCATACACGGCAGAAAAACTGGGTGAAATTGGGAGGTGAATTTGGAGAAGACAAAGGAAATGGGTAAATAAGCAACAACTAACATTTTTGTGCTGATTCCTCAGTACTTTAAGTTCCTCTTGTGATATTTTCATAGTTCAATCCCAGCTGGCAACTCAGCCCTACACAGCTGCTTACTCCTTCTCCACTGCAGTCGTGGAGAGAATCAGAAGGGTAAAATGTGAAAACTTAATGGGTTGAAATAAAGACAGTTCAGTAGGGAAAACAAAACCTGTGCATGCAAGCACAGCAAACCAAGGAATTCATTCCCCACTTTCTGTGGGCAGGCAATTGTTCAGTCACCCCCAGGAGAGCAGGCCTCCATCATGTAAAACAGTGACTTGGGAAGGTGAATGCTGTAAGGCCACAAGTGCCCCTCTTCCTCCTACTTCCCCAGCTTTATCTGGTGAGCACTACACCAAGTTGCATGAAGCTTGGAGCAACCTGGTCTAGTTGGGAAGGCGTCCTTGCCATGGCAGGGAGTGGAACCAGATGGTCTTCAAGGCCCATTCTAATCCAAACCATTCTGGAATTTTATGATACTGTCTGGAATCCCTTGGGTCAGCTGGGATCAGCCATCCCAGACTTGTCCCCTCCCAACTTCTTCTGCGACCCAGCCTGCTTGCTGGTGGTGCAGTTAGAGAAGCAGAAAGGGCTTTGATGCTTTGTAAGCTGTGTTCAGCACTAATGAAAACCCTGTATTAGCAATGCTCTTCTCTAAAATTCAGTCCCATGTGAGTTAGCATGGAGAGATTGAACTGTATCCCAGCCCAAACCCATATAGATACGAAGCTTTTAATTCAATTTAATTTGTGCTTTGATACACAGATTTGTGACTTCCATAAAGGAATTTGGTTTGAACTATTGGTACCTTCTGTATATTCTTTGGAATACAATTAAGGATGCTAAATGGGTCTCCCAAGAGTACTTTCCTGCCATCAGTTTAGTTGAAGGAAACAGTAAAGCCCCATCCATAAAAAAAAGCTCTGAGATTGAAGTGTGGCCTTCTGATAATCCTTAGGATCAGGGAGAGGAAAATACAACCTTCTCTGCCTGTGTTGAAAACTGTGTTTCTCTGGAAGGTGCCAGATGTCTGTTCTAATGCCACAGAATTTTATGGCAGCTTTTATGCAGTTATTGCATCTGTAGTGCTGATTTTTAAAATGGGATTTAAGTATTGGCTATTGTCTTGGTTTAAGACAATTTAAGGGGGATGCTCTGAAATGAGTTATATCCCCTTAGTTTTAACCAACCCCTTTGCACAGGAAATAAATGTGTAAAAATAAGTGGAAAAAATAACAGTTTACTAACAAGCAAAACAGCAACAGGTACAAACTAACAGTAAATAGTCACTAGATACAAAATTGCTAAATGTCATGGACTCCCTGGGAACAAAGGGGAAACTCAAAATGGCAGTGACACCTTTCCCCAAGATGATGCTTGCCGTGGGCAACCGTGTGTGGGGAGACAAAGGGAAAATGGCAGCAGCCCTCCCTCTTATCTCTCTGGTGGCAGCAGCTCCATCGGTGTACGTGACTGACACGCTCTGGCGGCTGGTACTCGGTCAAGGACTAGAACCTGTGGAAGGACTTCACCTTTGTCTTGACAGAGGATGGCAGGGCAGCCAGCTAAGGTGGCTCAGACTCCGTGATTTCTCATGTCAGCTGGGTGCTGCTGGCAGCTGCAGCAGCTGCAGGGTCTGGGGTCTCTTCAGTCCTCCTAGCACCCTGCTACAGCTGCAGACACATGTTGCAAAATTCACTCTGAAACAGTTTTTGATTGTGGCATGCAGCATCCCATTTTGTGGCAACAGTTGCTACTGTTGTGAGCACAGAAACCCTATCTGAAACAACCCCCTCCGGAGGTCAGAGAGAAACAGAAGAAAAAAACCCCAAAGCAGAGCCTCTGCCTTGAGCAAAAGCTGTGAGCGGAGAGAAGAAGGTGTGCCTGAATGCCTTGACTTTAAAGAGCTTGACATTTGCCTGCCCCCAACCCTCTGGTTCTGATTCTGGCTGCACAGCTGGGTCTTAAAGAGACTTTCAATTTTGAGCACAGATGGATATGAAATATAATAATATTTGGGTTACCTAGGACAGCTATTAAGTGGCTTCTTTTGACTAATCTTTCATCTAAATGTTGAAGAATTTTATCCTGATAGCCTGAAATGCTCAGTAAGGAAGATTGGCAGATACTGTGGGTTGCAGGGGTGTTTCACAGCACTGTGCATTGCATATAGCAAATACCATGTAATTCATATTCTTTGACTGTCTTGATGCTTGACCAAGGTCGCCAGGTGGAAGCTCTGTGTGCTGCACCATTTGCCTGTCAGCGTGGACGGAAGCAGCTAAGGAGAGTCTTTCATTCAAACTTGCTGCATGGGACTCTCTGGTTCCATCCCTGGCTGTAGGGATATGAGCTTAAATTTCTCATATTGCAGGATCTACCAGTTTTAAAGATATCCTGAAGATCTCCTATCTGACTTTAAGAGATGTCAGCAGAAGACTTTTTATTGGACTTTTCTCCCTCAGTACAGACTTTGCTTCAACAGAAATCATGGATCTTGGGAGTGTTTGATTTTTAAATTAAAAATTGTTTTTATTGTACATAAAGCTGACATGTTAAAAAGAATACCTCCATGACTTGCTGTAGGGCTGTTGTAGCCCATGCTAGCATGGGATCTTCTCAAGTCAACTGAAAGGATGGCTTGGAAGGCTGGCACCATCTGGGGATGATGAGTGAATAAACCCAGTTACATCTGGGCACTTCTGAATGGAGGGAAGAGCTACAGGGCTCAAGTTAACTGTTCCAGTAACAGTTTGTGTTACTCTGTCTTGTTGCTGTTCTCTTTGGTCTTGTTCTGTCTTGGGCAATTCTAGATTTGTCTTGGCAGGCTCTGAAAACAGAAGGGTATAGTGAGGCAGTTGGTCAGATTTGAGTGCTCTGTCTGATGGCTTCTGATTAGCAAGCCAAATGACAATTCCTCATTTCTAAAAGTTAGGGGTGTTTGTCAAGTGATTCCTGCTGCAGTTGCATTCAGTACTCACTGCATTGGCTCTCTTAATGATCATTCTGGGTTGTGTGGTCTCAAGATCGAAATACATTTGTACTCAAGCTGGAAACATCTCGCATTGTAGTCATGAGTTATCATGAGGTCCAAGGATTCTGTGATGTTATAGGACAGCTCTTTTCAAAGGAACCATCATGTCCTGCAGAGAGGTATCAGAATTATAGAATCTTCTGAGTTGGAAGGGTGGGATTTTGGGGTGTCTTGTGCCTGAGAGAGTTGTCCAAATGCTCCTGGGGCTCTGTCAGGCTTGAGACATGACCCTGGGGAGTCTGTTCCAGTGCCTGACCACCCTTTTGGTGAAGACCCTTTTTCTAATTTCAAATATTAATAAATATATTATTATCCAGTAGATAGCCTCTGCTCCCAACACAGAATAATAGTACTGGTCCAGAACTGGCTCTTTTGTAAGGAACTACATAGGAGTCCATAGAAAACCAAACAGTAGATCTCATGCAGCACATCACATTTCTCATACTATCAGTGAAATCACTACTCAGTGATTGAAATTTTACCTGAAGCCTAGCTCTGGAAGTGCTGCGTGAATTTAAAGAGTCAAAATACAGGTTGAATGATTCAATGAATCAACTTGTAGGTGGAAAAAGTATAACAACTAGTTTAGGAAGTGACTGTAGTTTTATTCTTAAGCAATTGAAGAAAATAAGTCTGTCTGGCATTTTCATCACAGAAGTGCTCAGGTTGGAAAGTACCTTTGGATCATTTGTTCCAGCCTTTCATGGGAAATGGAATAGATGATTTAGCACCCTGTCTCTCCAGTAATGGGGGACTCCGCCACACACCTGGGGAGGTTTTTCTAGTGATTGATTAAATGAGTGATTGATCTCTAAAAAATGTCATACTTTTTTAAGAAGAAACCTCTCCCAGTGCAACTTGTATCTGTCTATTGCCTCTTTTTCATGTGGCTCCTAGGGAAGTGTAACCTTTGTAGCTACCCTTCAAGTACTGTAATATTGTGATGAGATTCCCCTTGGGCCCTCTCTTCTCAAGGAAGGAGACCTAGTTCTTCTCATAGGGCGGTTTCTGCAGCCCTCTCATCATCTCCTTTGCACCCTGTTCAGTCTGTCTGCATCTTTCCTGAATTGAGGAGACAAAACTGGACACAGTACAGCAGGTGGGGGCCTGACAAACACAAAGTTGAGTGGGCTAATCACATTTCCATCTCTTGGCAATGTCCCTGTGTATACAGTCCAGGATCCTGTTTGCCACAGTTGCTGTTGCTGGACACTGCTGGATCATAGCTTGTTGTCCACCAGGACCCTTCCAGCAAGGCTACTTCTCCCAAGCTGCTGATTCCAGTCTGTGCTGGACTCTTGGGTTATTTAATCCTGGATGCAGGACTTTACAGTCCCTTGTACTTCAGACACAATCTTGCTTGCCCACTATTTTAGCTGGTCTAGGTGTCTAAGAAAACATTCCAATTTACCCCCATCAACAAAGCTGGTGAGGATTCAAAAACACCCGACTGCCCAGATCCTGTATGGAGATGTTGAGCAATGTGGGGCACACCATCAGTCCCTGGGGTCTCTGCTTGTGACATCCTGCCGGCCAGAGTGAAACCATTGATGATCACTTCTGAGCGTGACCCATGAGCCAATTCCCTACTTGTTTTGTATACCACTTGCCTGGTCTGTGTCTCCCCAGTTTGTCCAGGACCAGGCTGTGTTAAACTGTGTCTAACGCTTTGTTGAAGTCCAGCCAAACAACACCCACTACTCTCTCCATAAATACAGAGAGTGCTGCCTTGTAGAAGGTGACCAAATCAGTCAGGTGTGACTTGCCTTTGTAAATCTCTGCAGACTTAGCCCAGTTAGCTGCCTTGTCTGGCTTCTAATACTTTTTAAGAGGGCTTGTTCCATTATTTTTTGAGAGATTGAAGCAAATATATCAGGTCTTGCTTTTTTTCTACTGTATTTTTGAAGTTTGGAAGTTCAAAACAGGTTTTGTTTTAATGGAAGCAGTTAATTAAGTGGTAGTGTCTTTGTTGTTTTATTAGTATTTTAGTTTTTAGTATTTGCTGTTTAGTATTTTAGTAGTTGCTTTATTTGTATTTAAAAAATACTGTTTATCCAAGGCTCACAATGGTCAGGAACAATGTTTAACTGGAACTCCAACTCCTACTTTGGAGTGTTTACACACTCGTGTGTGTGGGCAGTGACTCTTGGGGGTTACTTTCAGGAGAGCAGTCTACACAATTCTCAGGAGAAAATGTCTCTTTAACCTTGTTTAAGGTTAAATCTTTAACCTAGACATTGATGTTTCCTCTAAAGTTAACACATTTTTAAAACAAATTACAGGAATATATATCAAAGTGATTTGTCAGTCACTGTCTGTTTCCAGTCATTGCCCCATGTGGGGTTGGTGTCTTGTGTTTGTTACAGTGACAAAGGACCTCACAGCTTTTCCCTTGTTCCCCCATCCTCAGAAAGTTCAACTTGGCTTTAGGCTAATTTTCCCCAGGTAATGAATTAAATCCTGCCATCTTGACCATCTTGAGTGAATTTCTTCAGCTTGTTTTTTCTCTTCTTTGTTTTGCATAGATCTCCCTTCTCTATTTTTCGTGCTGGGGAGTTTGGCTTTTTTAAATCCAGTAACTCTGAGGCACAACGAAACAAAAATAGTGTGACTAAAATAGCTGTAAGTGGAAACACCTTCCAGAGCCTCTAAAGAGCTGGAAAAAAAATGTGTCTTGATTCTTGGGAGGATATAAATATTAAATATCTCCTAAAGACAGCCTGGAGAGAGGTGCTACCTCACATTCCCCTCCGCTCAGCATCACCTTTATCACTCTGACCTGAAAGAAGAGTCATAATAGGGTGGTTTCAGACATCCAACATTGAGTGATAAACCATCTGGTCACCTTTCCTGAGAGAGGAAGTGCTGTGGATAATTACTCTTTACCCTTTTTAGGCTTTCTAAAAGTTTCTTAAAAAAAGTTACTGAAAAACGTTTGTTTGTGGAGCAAAAAGGTTCCAATAGCCCTTCTATTTTTAATATCCCGTATCTACTTTCCTTACCGGGCTTTAAAAATAACACAGTAATAGTAGTTAGAGTAATAATAATTGGATGATGATGATCATCACCAACATCCTTACTCAGATCTCAAATACAAGACATTCCAGTGTTTTCTTTCTTTGGCTAGAAAATACTACAGTAGTCTGAAGGGAAGGCAGAGGTACCCTTATCCAGTCCAAAGCTGTTTCTGGAATAGCTGTGGAGCTCCACTGAGAACAACTGCAGTTGAGGCAGCGAGGTGTTTGCACAGTTGTTCTCCTGTATTTGTCTTTAAATCTGAATATAGTTTCAACTGAAAATGGTGTTCTGACACCAGCTCAGTGATGTCATGTCAGACCAATGGTGTTAGTACTGAATATTTTACTGTAAAACTGGTCAGTGCTGATAGGCCTGTGTGAGTCTTCTGCATGCTGAAATCTAGCCTGTCCATGGGCTCAGCCTCCCCTTAGTAGCCTGATGGGGTGAATTATGTCTTGTGCTCCCTTATAGCTTGTGTATGCATTTGTTTTTAGCAGTAAGGCACTTTGTGTTCCTTGTCTCTGGAATTAAACTTCAGTAAACTCTGGTGAAATGATTGCTGTCTCTTGGGGGAATGGAAAGAAATCATTCTGTCCTAGGGATGATGTTAAAAGTCTTTATCCCTTGAACAATAGAAAGGCTGGAACTAAAAATGACAGACCCTCTCAGCTGTAAAGCCATTGTGTCCTTTTGTTTTGTCCTGTGCTAATGAAGTCCTCTGCTAATTGCTGTAGGACCTGTTGACTTTCTCCCCAGCTGTCTGGCTGCCAGGCGTCCAGCAATCTGCTGCCAAAGTTAGCTTGTGTCCTACTGGTGCTTTAATTAACCAGAGTGTTCAGTTCAGCACTGTGAAGAAATAGGAGTGTTTATTCTGGATTACTGACCTTTTTAATAGTCCTGACTTATGCTCTAGTGCCAGTGCTCTCAAGCGTGTGGTGTCAGTGGGACATGGGATACAACAGACCCAGTGCATCCTAGGGTCTTAATTTATAAGAATTGACAACTGTGATGGACACAATAGATCATTTTTGTGGATTTTGTTTTTCCAAAAGAAATGTCTTCATGCAGTTCAGATGGGCCAGTGGACTAGACTGAAACCAAAAACTTTTTTCTGTCATCATCATGGCGCCTGTACAAATCTTCTGGTAATATCAGTGCCCTCAATGAGCATGTATCTCGCAGGGCTCTGTGGTACAGCTTCAGCATGCAGCTTCAGCTTGGGCTTCTGGCCTCTTTTCTGGGCTATTGCCAGTGGTGAAGGAGTTACCTTCCTTCTTTATCTAAAAGATGTGTCTGTGTGTGTCTGTACACTGAAATAAGCCTTTTGTGTTCCCTGTCTCTTGTTGCAGATGAAGCTGCCAGTGTTATCCAGTTTGGTAAATCATCCAAGCGATCACCTGAGTCCACTCAAATCGGGCAGTATGGGAACGGCTTGAAATCGTAGGTACAACGAGAGCCAGCCTGCTGAGGTTGGGGAGCTCGTAGTCCAGGTTATCGATGTGCTTTTTGCTCAGAGGTGTATAGCTTTTTCCCCAGGGAAAAAAAAAAAAAAAAAAAGAAGCAGATGAACTCTTAAGATCCCCTGGTTTGGTAGACAGGAGCTCTCTCAACATCTGCTGTAGTTTTCCATGGCCAAGAAGGCTCTCTACAGCTGACAACAGTGATTTGGGACTATGCTTGCATAAGGTAGAGGGTACAGGTAAGAGCTTGGGGAAAATAATGGAAGAGCTTGGGAAAAATAATGGAAGAGCTGGAAACAAAATGGTCATCTCCCTGTTGCAGTCAGGCAGTAAAATTTGAGCAAAATAGTGCTTCAGCCTCCCAACAGGAAAGTTATCTGGTGCAAGGCAGATGGACTTAAACTGTTTATTTTTGTTCTTAAACCAAACAAATGCAGGGAGAAGGGGAATGATGGAAGCAAAGAGAGGAGGGGTAGGATTAAGTGCAGAGGAGCACATGTGGGAAAGGAATCCTACTGGTTGGAGTGGATTTGCTAGGAAAGAGAAAGAAGTTTGCTGTGTCTTTGGAAAAGTTACAGGCTTTTGTGACTTACTCTGGCTGTTCTGCTTTGTGCTTACCCATGTGGCTTGATTATGTGCATCCTATTGGGAAATCAGTGGGACTCAGTAACCTGGGAGGAAAATTAGGGGATCTTTTTAGCTGCAGTGCAGGACATCCCAGATCCTGACTGTATGCTTCCAGGACAGATCTCTGTCCTTTCCTAACCTTGAGCAAGAGGGGTACTTTATTACATCAGAGAGATACTGCCTGAAGCCCCAACATATGCGAAAGGTAGGTTGTGGAACTGCTGTGCTGTGGACTTAAGGCAGTCTGAAGAGAAATGCTCTGACATAACACCAATACTTCTTTTGATGAAATGTTAATTGTTATCTGTTAAGGTGTTTTGGATGAGCTTGGTAACAGGATAACTTGGTAGAGAAGATTGAGAAGATGCAAAGACAGTATTTGGGATAGGAGAGTGGGGAGAACGAAGGGACTGTCTCTTTTTGTGACAACAAGCTGCTAAGCTGCCTTAGCTGAAGTGTCAGTAAGGCTTTAGTTAGGTTAGGAAATGAATTTTCTGTCTCCAGACTGCTAAACTTGATTCTGGGTACCGTGAAATGAGGAATGTGCTTGCTTTCTTACTGACATTTCTGCTCAGAGATTTGAAGGTTATTGTCACATCTCATCTCAGTTGTCTTTTAATCTTTTTTAAAAATTTTTGTTTAAACTTTCTACATAGTATGAATCTGCAGTGCTGTACACCTTTTAATTGTGCCTGGTGTTAAATGTTCTGAAACATTGTGAAAATGCCTAGATTGATATGCCTTCTGAAAGGAATGAGATGTTTAGAGAGAAATGATAGTTGCTGTTTCAGCCCTTCTGCCTAATCTGGTTTTGGCATCTCATAACTGAACATAATGGGAAGAAAGCTCATTAATGTGGCCTGCATTCTGAACAGTATGGTGCATCAGGTGTAACACACAGTTTGACCTCTGCCTACAGGGGTTCCATGCGGATTGGGAAGGATTTTATCCTGTTCACAAAGAAAGATAACACCATGACTTGCCTCCTCTTATCACGGACGTTCCATGAGGAAGAAGGCATTGACGAGGTTTGCATGTGCTTCTTATAATGAACTAGTATAGTGAATGCTGCCTCATCTGAACTTGCCCAGCTCTCACAGAAAAGTCTGTGTCAGGGCTGTTTGTGACTCTTGTGGGACCAGTGTAAGGTTTTCTTTTGGCATTATGCTGTAGGGCTTCTGCAAAGTCAACAATTTTTTTCTCCTTTTTGTTATAATTCTAATTCAGAAGTCTCTCTAGAGCAGAGCAAGTTTGAAGGGCTTATTTCAGTCACTTAAAGGTGTGCTTATGCTAAGTTCAGCAGGACATGCCCAGACATCTTGCATTTTCCTTTTCCCACAAAATTTGAGTTTGAAATGTATTTAATTTTACTGTGATGATTTGATTTTGTGTAGAGAATTAAAAGTGTTTAATGGAAAAGTGAAGTTGCTACCCATGGGTCATTAACTGCAGGTGTGTTTTCTTACAGATATTTTTGATTTTTAATAAAAAGTCAGTGTAGTTCAACCTGTGAAAAACGTGCATATTTTAATAGATAACTCAGGCATTATTATTCCAGGAAGGGTTGATAATTTAAATTTGCACTGGGATGGTATCTCAGAAAATATCTTGTAGTATGAGGGAAGGATTGAAGGGACCTGTGCAGAGAAGCTGGGGAGGGGCAGTGCATGCTGGTAGCCAGCCCATGACTGAAGCAGGTTGGGAGGAGTAAAGTAAGTCTAATTCCCACAGCAGCTCTGGTTACTTTTTTGGCTTGACCACAATTCTAGAATAGAATTTGTGTCCTTGATGTGCAGCTGTAGTTTATAATTCTGTCTATATTTTTACTGTAAATGGGAGAAATCACCTTGCTAGCATCCTTTAAAAAAATCAAAGACGGAGATCAGGATAAATATGAGTGAAGGATATCTGAGTTCAAGAGAGGAATTAAGCCAGAGTGGTTTTTTTAGTATTATGAAAGTTGCTACATGAGAAGGGCAAAAAAAGCCAGTACTAATGTGACTTGGGAATGGTTCACTCTGAGACTGGTATTTTAAGAAGGCAACTCAGGGGCTGGCAGAGAGGATCTGTGAGCATTTGACAGACATGCAAACTACTGAAGAGCTGGAAAGGGCTCTCGTGGTGACTTAGGGGGCTGTCAGGAGGTCATTGGACCATGACCTGCAGGAGGGCCTGACTGGAGTGGGAGAGACTGAGTCACTCTCAATACAATGGGATTTGCAGGTCATCGTTCCCCTACCCACCTGGAACGCACGGAGCCGTGAACCCGTGACGGACAACATGGAGAAATTCGCTATTGAGACGGAGCTCATTTACAAGTATTCCCCTTTCAAATCAGAACGGGAGGTGATGGACCAGTTCAATAAGATACGTGGTGAGAAAGGTACATGTGGATGGTGCAGGTCACAAGTGAGGTATTTGGGGTTTGGTTGGGATTCACCTGGTTGACTTGTTATTTGCTCAGGCACCCTGGTGATCATCTTTAACCTCAAACTAATGGATAATGGAGAGCCCGAGCTGGATGTGACTTCTGACCCTCAAGATATTCAGATGGCAGAAACACCCCCAGAGGGAACGTAAGTGTGACTGGTGTAACAGGCCCTGATCAAATTTGGTGTAGGGTTTGGCTATATACTGTGTGCATGGGATTTTTTTAAGATTCTCTTTTTGTAGTGAATTAGAGAATTTAGAAGATCTATAGTTTGTTCTTAAGCAGTTTGGGGTTCATGTGTGTGTCAGCCCATGGGTGTTGTGGCTGTGTTTGGGGTGAATGCCTGCAATGGCTGATCTCAGCTTAGCCATTAGCAGAAGACTCAATGTCCTTTAGGCACCATAAAAAAGGAGCCTTAAGCTTTATGTTTAATTTTCTATACCTATCAAAGATGTTTTCATCAGAATGAGAGCTGGTTGTGAGTCAGTGCTGCTCCCAAATGGCTGTTCAGTTTTGTGGCAAAACATGAGGTGCTGCGCAGGTCAGCCTCTGTGGGTGGATAGTATGGAAGGCAGGTGGGGTGTATCATCACATCTATCAGGGAGCAGGGAGCACTTCTTCCTGCAGAGGGGCAAGAAGGATGTGCTCAGAGGGCAGCTGGAAGAGCACAGGCTCCTGTTTAGAAAGAGCTGAGTGTTTGCTGAGTTGATCACCTGTAGCGTGAAAACAAAAAACTGAGCTGAAATTAGCCAAATGCTTAATTAAGTCCCAGAGCCCCGTGGGCACACCTAGCAAGCTTTACCTTTTTGATGAGATTACATGCTTTCTCCCTGCAGTACTTGAATTTTCCATAGGAAGTTTTAGACCCTGTAAAGCAGCTCTGTGTATTAGAGTGATGTTACTGAGCAAATTCCTTGGGGCCCTCCAGGGGATCTCAGCATCTTTAATGCCTGCTTGTAAGGCAAGCATGATTTCCACTCATCACTGCCTCTTCTTTCTGATGTTGTGGTACCATGTGTGTCAGTGAGTAGTGCAGGTTCTGTGTCAGCGTGCCACTGACTCACTGAAGGGTGGATACGCTCTGGTAGGTGGGCATACTTTTGGTGTTAAATAGTCCAGTTTATAGATTTGGCCATTATTATCCAGATGTATTCAAACTCCCTCTTCAGGTTGCAGTAACATGAGTATCAGTGTCTTGTAGCAGTAGTTATGATGTACAGCTCAACAAAGAGTCTGGAGAAGACATAGGTAGAAAAAAACATTAAAGAAAAGCTTTACTTAATGTAGCTTCATGGTAATTAAAACAGAGAGACCTTTTCTTTCACCTGTCTGTTTCGCTAAGGGTATCTCTTGGGCATATTCTGAAGTAGATGGCTCTCTTGCAGCAAGCCGGAGCGCCGCTCCTTCCGTGCCTATGCTGCTGTGCTTTACATTGATCCCAGGATGAGGATCTTCATCAATGGACACAAAGTACAAACCAAGCGACTCTCATGCTGCCTCTACAAGCCAAGGTAAGTGTTGGATCCAAGATCTGCGGTGTGTGGGACCATTTGGAGTTAGAGAAAAGATGTAGTGTTTTGCTCTCCAGGTGTATCATGCACAATTCCATTCCTAACCCTAACGCCATGGAATCAGACCATAAGAGAATGGCGTGTGCTGCTGACATCATGGGAAGAGTGGAAAATCAAATGCCTTTGAAAATTGCATTAGTCATTGGTGCAATTTGGCTCCCTTTCAGAGCAAACAAAGAAATTAAGATCCTGGTTGTATGAAATGCCATATTCACACAAAACTGTTCAGTAACTGTGTTGTTGTTTTTGAGCAGAAGAAGGAAATACATATGGTGGGTGTTAGGATTATTTCCAAAAAGAAGCTACACTGAGTGCTTTGAAACAGTTGCTTTTATATGTAGCTAATCCAGGTTTGAATAGAGATTGAGAAAAAGCTTTCCCTATATTCCTTTTAGATTTCCTTAAACAAAAAATGTGACAGTGAGCTGGGGTGTGCTGTCAGTTTGCTGAACAGAGACTGGAAAAGGTTACTGGGATGGGATGGGAAAGGGAAACCTGTATTTCAGTCTACTTGAGGCAGACTCTCCCTGGGGTGTGCTGTCAGTTTGCTGAACAGAGACTGGAAAAGGTTACTGGGATGGGATGGGAAAGGGAAACCTGTATTTCAGTCTACTTGAGGCAGACTCTCCTGCATTCTAGATACCCTGGCAAAATTTATTTGAATCAAATAGTAGTAATTTTGTAGAGTATTTGTGGTTTTTTTTGGTATAGCATTTTGGGCTCACTCTCAGCCTACTAGGCACTGTTAGTAGCCACAGGCCAATGTCACACCATTGACAGTGCCTGAAGAGCCTGGCTGGTTTTTAACTTAGGCTTCCTCAGCTCCTTACATGAGACTGTGTGAAATGGTATCAGAAACCTGACCAAAATAAAAGAATGTTACACCCACTGCTCCTCATGCTGGCCAGGCCAGTTGTTCCCCTGTGGAAGGCAGGGAACTTGCCACTGTAAATCCTGATTTACTGGGTAGAGAATCTCTGGATTTCTGTATTTTTGACTATGTTTTATCTACATATGAGAGCCTTGTGCTGTAGTCCATCAAAAGTACTAGGGAGAGAAACCAGGGGAGGACACAGATTTTTATATCATCGGAGACATGCTTCTTGTGAGACTCATAGATAGGATGCCATCATTGTGGGTGATGCTGCCTAGCATCATGACAATATTGTCCCAGATCCTAGGTGTCCCAGGTCACCCCAGATGTTCGTCTACCTCAGTGTCTTCTTCAAGTGGTCAGTAGTCTATTCTAAGGAGCCCCAAGCTGATGTGTGCTGGTGCCAAGTGTATCTCACAGATCTGCTTGTGCCACATCTGAGCAGACTCCTGTAGATCTGCTTATAGTGATAGGCCAGTACAAATTCCTGAACATTGTAAAGACATCTACATTTAAAATCCCCATTCCTGCAACAGAGCAGTAAAGACTTCAAGGCCTTCCTGCAGAGCACAGTGTAAATCTTCTCAGTCTTGTGGCAATTATTGTGGCTTTACTGGGCCTCTCTGGAGAGTGTCCAGACTGCTCCCTTCTGGCTGGACTTCCCAATGCTGGCTTTGGGCTCTAGAAGCTGTGTGGGCCATCAGGACAAGCCATCAAAGCCTTTACTGTGGGTTCTAAGAGCCAGCACTGCTCTTGGGGTAGATGCCATGCTGTGCCCTTGGCAGGTTGAGGAAGCTGTCTTTTTCCTCAGGAGGGCTCAAATCTGCTTTGGGTGTCTCTTTCTAAAGAGAAAACCAGTAAATCAGTCAATTCTGAAAGTGGTTACTTTGCTTTTACTGCCATAGCTGTAGGGCTTTTTTACATTTTTCTCCCTGAACCTGCTGAAAAGGGTCACTTATGCCCTCACTTTCCCTTTAGAGCTGAAGCCAGAGCTCACCATCCTCATTTATCTACTAGGCTTTGAGTGCTCTGCAGGTTAATACTGGGTTAATCCCTTGCATTTGTGCCAGCACTGTTTTGTGTGTGAGTGCATGGGGGAAGGAACCTCCATTATGGTGCTCCTTTGGGGTCAGCTGATGTAGCAGCGATGCTCAGCTTTTTAGCATTGGCTGTGTTTCTGGCCCAGTAGCCTGGGCCAGGTAAATGCTGAACCTTCCTGGTCAAGCAAAGGGATGGGGAACAGACAGTGGAGGTGATGCTGCTTATAGCCTGAGTAGCTGGTGTGCTTGTCTGGGATGTCTGAAGGGCTCTTCTCTTTCAGAGGGGGCTCCTTCCTGCTGTCAGTCAGGTTGTCTTTATCTCTGAGGGAAAAGCCTGTGCAGTGGCTTGTCTGCAGGTTCTGGTGTGTTGGTGTTAGAGGACAATGTATGGAAATCCACTGTGGATTTAGGGTATGTAAGTGCCTTTACTGAAAAAAAGGTTTTGCAGCCCTTGCACTGTTTCTCAGGAATAACAGTGCATCACCTGAGCAGGACACTAATTTTTTGTTTGTCACCACCCATGTTTCTGTGGGAGAGGCTTCCCCTCATCTTTCTGGAGCTGATAACATCATGGTGGCAGGGGCTGGCTGGTTTTGTGCGGATCCTTCACCAGCCTTTGTGGTTGTGTTACCACATTCCCAGCTTCCCTGGGAGTGGCCTGTGTCTCCTGAAGGATTGCTTCCATCTCTTCCCCAGTACCTGTTGGAGCTTGTTTAGCAATATGGGCTGTGCAGGTAGAAATAGCCAGGCCACATGCAAGGCTTGTGCTTCCATGAGGACACTCCAAGGCAGTTGGAATGAGAGTCTTGAAGATCATGATGGTTCACGGTGCCATCGTCTAGGACACCCAACAGTTGCTTACAGTGCTCCCTACAGCAAAGGAGTGCTGTCCCTACGGTCCCCTCAAGTGCTGCCCTGCCTGCTGAGCTGGGCATGGGGGGATAATTCAGCTTCACCTGCTTCTCTGTCTTTTTATTTTTGCTTTAGAAGTCAGGCAGGTGTGGGTGAAGTAATGTAGTTATGCCAACATGTTGAAAGCAGCCTGGCTTTCAGAGTGTGCTGTCTCCCGGCCCCAGATAGCTTTCATCAACCTTACATAGGTTAGAGATGACGCCACCAAAATCCTGACTCTTTAGCTCCTGACATGATGAAATCACCAACTGTGATTGCTGGAAGTCTTAGCACCCACCTGTTTTTTCCCCAGGGAGGAAATCCTTACAAATAGCAGAAGATGAGTTTAGCAAAATGTATTTCCGGGAACTGTGCTTGTGGTATTAATTTTTTAGATTTGGGAGCAAGGGATTCCTATTGGTAAGACTATGTCTGATGTCAGTACCGTGTGTGCTCACCCACAGAAACAAAAGTAAATAAAGCTTTTCATAAGTACAAGGTTGTTTCTCATGAATCCTGACAGTTTGTCTGCCATTTGGGGGGAATTTTGTCGGTCATTAGGATCTAAGTGCGATTCCAATCAGTTGGTCAGTCAAGTGTTACATCCCCATGTGTTTTTGCCTCTCTGTAAAACCAGCATTTTTAATGGCTTTTGCTTTAGCTAAATACTGGAAAAGTTAATCCCATCTATTTGGGATGGGATTTTCCTCTTGGTATATCCAAAACCTCATGTCTTAAGATGATCTGAGTTCCTGCAGGCTCTGCTTGTCCTAGGTGTCATCTTTCCTTGTGACGTGCTTGGAGGTGATACACATTCATGAGCTTCTGCCTCACAAACACTAATCTCTCACTCTGCAGCAGTCAGTGAATTTGGATCTGTGTTTGGCATGTTAGCATACAGGGAAGGTGAAACAAGCTGCTCCATCTCCAGCACAATTTACAAGGTTGTGAGTCATATACAAAACATACAGAAGTGTTCTGAAACTTGAAGTTCTGGTCAAATTGTTGTTCTGCTTTGAGATAGCCCAGTGTGAGATGGACCTGTCAGACTGCACCTGTGGACAGCTGTTTAGAGGAAAGGTTATTTAGCTGTGGTAGGAGGGTTTTGAGAAGCTTTCCATATATATTCACTCCTCCTTTTTACTTCTGAAGAAATTATTTCTCTAAGTCTTGAGATTTGCTACAAGAATTTGGATATATTTCACCCCCACTTGTTAATGCAGGAGAAGAGAGGATATTGTGGTTGGATCTACTACTAAAACATCTCTGACTTGAAAAGATTTTGCTTAGCTTCATCCAAAAATGCCCAGTTGATGACATGTAAACCTCCTCCATTTATTGAATCTGTTGGGAGGAGTAGAGTAGCATGTGGGGACCTTGTTCTCTCATGCAGTGATGAAATTTTGGTTTGACCTTATTGCTGAGTTTGCTAATTGATTAATTTTGATCATCACAGGATGTACAAATACACTTCAAACCGTTTCAAGACCCGTGCAGAGCAAGAGGTGAAGAAAGCAGAGCACATGGCGAGGATAGGTAAGTCGTCAGGGTGTGCATTCATCCGTTGTTAAGGGGAGGACTAAACCCTTGATTGGTGTGACCTGGTTGGCTGCCTCTGGGTCCACTGGAATTGCTCAGGAACTGAATTATTGCAGCAACTGCAGATGACACAGACTTATGTTCATGCAATGGAAGGAATGTACATTGTTCCCAGAGACCATTTCATCTGAGTAGCAGATGTACGGGATAACCCTTGGAGTCCCAGCCGTTTGCCCCCACTCCAGCAGAAGCCTGGCTGAGCCCTGTCATCCTGCAGTTCTTCTCTCACCTTTAAGATATTATGAGCTTTTGGTTGTGTTTTCATTCAGCACCTTTCCTGTTAAGGCAGTTAAAAAAGTAGATTTTTATTCTGTCACTTAATGTAAAGGGATTGGTCTGGATGTACAAGGGAGCCCTGGTTTGTTTGTTTTTAACTGTTCCAGGCATACCTTTTGCCCATCTAATCTTCCTTCCTGTTAAGTCCTGTAATCATCAGGGAAAACTTAGTTTGTCGTAATTAGATATTCAGCATATAGCAATCACACAAGCATATAAATACAGCATTAAACTGTATTATAACTGCATTAGATCTCCAGAAATTTAACACAAAAAGCAGCATCCCTCCCTAACCCTTGATGCAAAAATACCGTAGTGAAGGAAGAATCTTGGAAGTTGTAAGTGATTTATGACCTGTATCTTCTGATAGGTTTCATAAATCAACTACATAAATCACTTGGAGGCACGTGTCCTCTCTCCCTGTATCAGAGCTGCTTTAGGCATGTCTGTGTGTGGCTGCAGGTCATATATACAGGGATGGTGCTGCATTCAGCCTGTACAGCGTAACAGAGAGCAGTGTGATTGTGACCTTGCCCCAGAGAAAAGGAGCAGAGTGAAATGCTGTGAATTGCCATGCTCTCTGTTCTTCCTTTAGGAAGTACAGCCTGGCAAGATAGACTTGGTAAGATGAAGCTTAAGCAGATTTTATTGTGTGCCTCAATTCTCATAGGCGAATTTATTTTTACATTGAGTCCTATAGCTAGGGCAGGTCTTGAGCACACACTCCCATTGCTTTTCAAGAAGATGCAAAGAGCAGGATTTAGAGAAGCTTCTTCCCTGAAGCAGTCTGTGAGGCTTTCATGATACTTAGTAGTGGAGTTTAGTGTATGGCACTGAAAAATGGTGTCCATTGTTGTCCCAGTGCTGAGAACAGGTCCCAATGGCCCTAAAATGACACACATTTCCATCACCAAACGAGCCTGGTGCCTTTGGGTGTGCAGGGATCACTGAACCTGCAGTGTGCCCAGGGGGCCAAGATGGCCAATGACATCCTGGCCTGTGCTAGAAATAGTGTGGCCAGTAGGACCAGGGAAGTGATTCTTCCCCCTCCTGCCTAGTACTCAGCACTGGTGAGGCCAGCCCTCAAGTACTGTGTCCAGTTCTGGGCCCCTTATTTCAAGAAGGACATTGCGGTGTTAAGAGTGAGTCCAGAGAAGGGCAACGGAGCTGATGAAGCGTCTGGAGTGCGTGTCCTGTGAGAAGAGCTGGGGTGGTTTAGCTTAGAGAGAAGGAGGCTCAGGTAAAACTACCTGAAAGGAGGCTGTAGCCAGGTGGGGGTAGGTCTCTGCTCCCAGGCAAGTAGTCACAGGATGAGAAGACATAGTCTGAAGGTGCGCCAAGAGAACTTTAAGTTGGACATTAGGATTAATTTCTTCACAGAAGGGATCATTAGATATTGGAATGGACTGCCCAGGAAGGTGGTGGAGTCACCATCCCTGGAGGTGTTTAAGGAAGGACTGGATGTGGCACTTAGTGCTGTGGTCCAGTTGACATGGTGGTGTTGGTTACAGGTTGCACTCCATGATCTCAGAGGTCTTTTCCAACCTAATTGTTTCTGTGATTCTGTGAACTGGCCCAGTGCTTTTGGTGTGCAGGGATCACCAAACCAGCCCAGTGCTTCAGGGAGTGCAGGGATCGCTGAATGAGCCTGGTGCCTCTGTAGGAAAGAGGGTGCTGAGCAAAGGGCTTAGGACACTGTGGTGAAAACTCCCAGCTGACCTCAGACTGTTCCTGCAAGATTGGAGCACACATGTAGCCTCACATGGAGCCTCCAGGACTAAAACACACTCAGGGTATTATCCTCTGAGGCCTACATCTCATTGCTTTACTTGTAGAAAAATAGATTTAATCTACAGCACCAAGCTTTCTTGTTCTCCTGCTGGTAGAAATGATTACCTTCTCATGGTCTCCAGTACTCCAGAGGGAGCATCACCCAGGAATGATTTGCAGTTTGCTCTTTTAAACCCAGGAGTACATTGTGACAAATGGTGCGTCTCAGCTGAGCAAACAGCAGTTCCAGAATGCCAGATATCTGCCTACAAGGAATGTGTTGGCACCAGTCAGACTGAGAGGTTCCTGAGTCTCTGGAAGTAGCTTATGAGCTTGTGGAATCAAAACTGGATAACCAAAAACTAGCTGGGTGGGGAAGATGTATGAGCAGCAGTGACTATTGGTGGCATGGCTTTAGCATATCTAAAAAGAGCTATGGCTCAGGAGTGAAGACATACGTATATTTAAGATGAGGAAAAGCCACTTTTCATTCCCCAGGAACTAACTTCCTGCCTCATGCAATAAGCTTCCTAAGTGAGTGGGTGGACCTAGGAGAAAAGCACCATTCCTGGGCAAGGTGGCTGTGAAAGACCATCACCTGCTTTTTGTGTTCTTCTGAACTGAGACTGAGTACTGCACTGAGGCACCTTGGCATTGCTATTGCCTCTCTTCTGGAAATCCCCTTCCAAAGTTGGGAAGGCAAACAAATGGAAGGGGTGAGGAGTCATGCAGGTGTCAAGTCCTGGAAGCTAACAGCTCTGTGCTGCTCTAGGTATTATTTCAGATTATTTTGGTGTGTCCAGTGACGTGCTTGGCAGTGCCATGGGTACACCATGCCTGTTGTACCCTGGGAGGATGTGAATATGGGTTCCAGTTGCTGCGTGCTCACTATCCTGCATAGGACACGCATCTTTATGCCTTGGGGCCTCAGCCCTGTAACTGTATCGGTCCCTGTCAGCTGTCTCAGTTGTCACTGCATTAGTGGAGCAGGTTTGACCTGTGCCCTTCTGGGTTACGACTGTGTTCTTTCCATTAGCCACAAATATGTTTAGCCCACCAGCAACTTCCCTACAAGCTCTGATTGAAGTGGACCAAGTGCTTTAAGCAGCCTCCAGCCTCCTGTTGGCTTGATTTAGCCAGACTGTCTCTTGATGATGGCTAGTCACACAGCACAGTCCTTGGTAAGCAGCTGTGAACCCCAGAGCATGCTGCTGTGGGAATGAGGCAAAAAAAACTCCAACGGGACAATGCGTAGAAAGGAAAAGAGATTTGTGTTGTAGTCGTCTGAGTGAACTGACTGGCTACAGACTCCAGTTTCCTTCTGGCTGGCAACTGAGTGCTGCTTTTTGGAGAGGTACTGGTAATCCCTAGGAGCCAATTGCTATCCTGTCATCTTCTTGCTTACCTCATCCTATGTAAATCTTAGGCAAGGTCGTTCCTCCACTGGTGTGTTTCCTTGTTTCGAGTGTCTCACAGCCACAGTTTATCTCCCTATGAGGAGAACAGGGAGGGAAATGGCTTCTGGGTGTGCTGTAACCATGCTGCTGCACCCCCACTTGTGGGGGTGCAGGCATTGTTTGCCATGGCGTGAGCTACGCCATCCCTCAGCATGCACCCTTTGTATTGCCAAATTACAGAATCACAGGATGACTTGTATTGGAAGGGATCTTAAAGCTCATTTTGTCTGAAGTCTCCCTGAAGCCTTCTCCAGGCTGAACACTCCCAGCTCTCCCAGCCTGTCTCCAGAGCAGAGGTGCTGCAGCACTTGGAGCATCTCCGTGGCCTCCTCTAGATGCTCTCCAGCAGCTCCAGGTCCTTCCTGTGCTGGGCCCCAGGGCTGGGGCAACTCTGCAAGTGGGGTCTCACCTGGACGGGGCACAGGGGCAGAATCTCCCCTTCCCCTGCTGCACATGCTGTAGGATCAGCCCAGGTCATGGAAAGTATCTGGGGGCCAAAGCAAACAGCTGGAAAAGGTCCAACTCTCATGCACCAGCACCCCCAATTCCTTCTTACTCAGGAGTCCTCTCAGTCCATAATATCCTTGCAGAAAATGAGGTTTATTGAAAGAATCTTAAGTAATACAAGGGTGGTATGTGCCTATTGTCAGCATTCCTGTTTGCCTGGGAGAGAGGCAAAAAGGGGAGTTCCTTTTACATGGTAGGTTTCTTGCATGCGAGGATCACATGCAGGGTAGGTTTTCTGAATGCTGGGTCCTATGTAACGTGTAGCACAGATTTGTCTTTTTTCCAGGCAAAATTTAGCAATTATTAGAGATAAAAGCATTTCTGAGAGTAGTCCTTTCCCTTAATCTTTGCAAGAAAATTACCTCTTTGGAACTCCTTTTCAAGCCTGAACTTAGTCTTGGTTTTGTGAGAACCTTTCTCTGAATCACATTACCAAGCAGAGCAGGCAGGGCCACAGGGAATCCTTAGACTTTCCAGTTCCTTGTGGTCTTCCTCACAGATCCTTCCTTCAAATGTGCTTTTGCACAGTTTATCCCTGCTATTGTGCCAGTGTTGATTGTGACCTCTGAGCATGTTTAAGATGCCATGTCAGTGGGATCCTGTCATGTAAGGTTTGATTTTTGTACATTTTTGTGTTTCCTTTGTAACTTTGTACACATCAGTGCAGCAAAGGCTCTCTGGAGTTGCTCTCTTTGGGTGAATGCCTGACGATGCCTGTCTGTGCCAAACGGCTGACAGCATCCTTGTCCCTGTATGTTTCAGCGGAAGAGAAAGCTCGTGAGGCGGAGAGCAAAGCCCGTGCCCTCGAGTTACGCCTCGGAGGGGATCTCACGCGGGAGTCCAGGGTGAGCCTTGTGTTTTTGGCAGCATGTTGTGTTTTGGGCACCAAGGGATGTTTGGAGCACTGGCGGTGGAGTGATGCTAACTGGGCAGCAGCCCATGGCAGCATGTCGTGTGCTGGTTAAGCAGGTGGTGGCTACAGTCAGCAGTGAACTTCCAGCAACATTTAGGCATCTCCATGGCTTCATCACCACTGGATGTGTTTCACCATCTTCACATGGTGTGCAGCCCAAGTGAGAAGTGTGCTGGCATTCCCCTGCCTACACACCCAATATATCCTGCATGGGAAGGTGACCTCCAGATTCCAGGTGCTGTTTGCTGACAGCCTCTGTTGCAAGTGGCCCAGGGAACAGAACTAGAGCTACGGGCTTTTTGGCTGTTCCCTGCTGCCTGTGCAGCTGTCTCTGTGGCATTTGGGCAGGGGCTTTTGGAGAGGGCTTCTTTGCTTCCTTCCAGTGGGACTGTGGCTTTGAGGGGCAAGGCTGAGCCCTGGAGCCAGGAGTTGGGAGGAGGGCTGGCAGGGACACCAGAAAGGTCAGCAAGTAACACCAGTTTAAAATCACTGAGGTTCCTATTGGTATGTAATGGAAACAATAGTATCCAAGTGCCCTGGATGTTTCCTTGTGCTCCAGTGGCACTGTTTTCAATTTCCTTAATCCTGTTTTTACATGTAGACATTTTCCTCCAAGCAGCTGTGTAGCTGCTTAAACAACCTAGCATAAGTTTGCCCTACATGTGGAGCCACACTGGTTGTCACTGTCTACCAGTTGTGACTTCTTTACATTTAAAACATTTCTCAGCTCTTCCTGAAAGAGCAGAAAATCATAAATTGAGTGAATTTTATGAATTTCCCAGCTTGACTATGCAATGCCTGTTTGCAGGTGACATTGCGTCAGGTCCAGAACTCGGCCATCACCATGCGGCGGGAGGCTGACGTCAAGAAAAGGATTAAGGATGCAAAGCAGCGGTGAGTGCAGGGGCTTCCAAACTCTGGAGTGCCTAGGTTGTTTGCTCCAGGTGCTCATATAGCTCTCCTGTTTTGCATGTAATTTCTGTTCACCTCAAAGCTTAAATATCCATGGGCGTCTTCTATGCCTGGGCTGTTAAATTGAGCAGCTGGGGCACTATTCTGGTTACCTCTCTGTGTCCCTGCATTCGTCACTGGTGATCAGAAGCAGTTCAGAGGATTATGCTTTTCCACAGCATTGTACTTCATTCAGAAAACAAAAATCCTGAAAGATGTGTATAATAGGACGGCTTCTGTACTAAGCAATCCCTGTTGTCTTTTGGAAAATTCTTGAGTTACAGAGGATGTCCTAGGACAGTTTTTTGCTGTTTCCCTGATGCTGGGTGCATCAATGAAAGAACTGCTTTCTGGTTTACAAAAGCTGTGTAAGATCAGGTTGGATCTGAATCCAGACAATAGGACAGCTTCTAAATTTCTAGTAAGTAAATCCCTGACTTTTGATCCACCACTTCATTTTCCATGGTTTAGATGATAATTTTACTTCCTGTCCTCTCTGATAAAAATGAGGAGATGTCCTTTTTGTTTTGTAGATGAGCACATGCTATTTCTTGAAGTATAAGGCTCTACATTCTTTTCCAGAAGTTAGTAAAAGAAAATTAATCCCTGAGATGGGTGTTTTGCCACACTTGCTCATGCTCTTGAATCATGGTTTTCTACCTCAGTGAGCTGAGACCAAAGGGTCACATTCCAGCCCAGCAGTTGACAGTGTTCAAAACCCCACTTGGCAAAGGTTGAGATTTGAAATTACTGAAAGCTGCTATTTCAGGTGTTTTCCTAGGAATGTACTACAGTCACCTGTTTTAAATGAAGTTGTGTCACAGGGTACCATTGCATCTGTGTGAGGGATGATGGCCTTAAACAAAAAATTAGTAGGAATTTTATTTAATTTTGGTATTTATTTTGAAAAGTTTCACCAGTAAGACAGACTCAGATCTCATATCTGCAGGTGATCATTGTGTAGGGTTCATGCATGCATGGTTCAGGTCTTCCTAATATTTTATATTAGTAGACAGTCAACAGAACATTTTAAAGAATTCCACTATCTTCAGCTAACCATTTAAGCAGAAGTCAAATTCTTCATGAAGATAAGGTACATAACTGCAAAGGACTTGATGGGGGCAGGTGGGGAATATATAGCAGGTCAAAATTGAGAGGGGTGCGCAGGACCATGGTATAGGCTCTGCCTTGCAGTAGTTTGGACCTCATATTTGAGGATACCTTCATCCTGAGGCTGAGAATCCTTATGAAAAATCCTCAGCATGGGTATCAGGGAAGCTGTGGAACCTGATTAATTTAGTATGTTGAAGAGCAGGACTTGTTTGTGAGACACAGGGAGTTTGATTTATGGCACAAAGAGATGAAAATCTCAAGGCCTTTGGCCTTAATGGAGATAGAATTCTTGGTAACCAAAGATTCAGATTGAGAAATCCATATGGACTCACAAACATACTCGAGGCCAACTTTTGTTGGAGTCATCTGCTGCATAGATAAAGGAGAAATCCTGAAAATTGGTATCCTGACATTCCAGAAAAAAAGCTCTGCTTGGGCTGTATGTTGTATCTTCCAGCTTTGAACTTAAGGAGCAGCCTTGTGAAATTTGGCATTAGGAGAACTTTCTAGGATCAGAATATCAAGACTGTAGTTTTGTATTGAAATCTGAATTTCCATGCTTTATCTAGAAAGGGACATATAGCTGGAAAATACAAACAAAAATAGCATGGGACAGGACCAGTCTGGATACAACAGCGCTCTCATAAAACTAATTCACTGAATAAAAACATCTGAAGTAAAAACCAGAATCTGTTCTGATGGAGAAAACATATTCAAATGAAAAAATATCTGTCCAGCCTAAATTAGTATTTGTATTGCAGAGTTTTTGTATTGTGTTCATATTCAGTTGTAATGCTCTTTCAGCAAATATTTTGTATTTTTCAGAGGTAGCAGTTTAATGCTCAAGGGTGCTGGATTTCCATGTCCTCTCTCTCTAAATCAGCAAATAGTATGCTTTATTTCCAGCATCCCTAGAGGCTCTGTTTTGTCTCCTACAGGGCACTGAAGGAGCCCAAGGAGCTGAATTTTATCTTTGGGGTGAACATTGAGCAGCGCGAGCTGGATGGCATGTTCATTTATAACTGCAGTCGGCTGATCAAGATGTATGAGAAGGTGGGCCCACAGCTGGAGGGTGGCATGTGAGTCCTGCAGATTTTTCTGCAACCTTTGCTTAAGCTTGACACATTTCTATATCTAACTTAGGCTGTGCAATGACCATGTTTTGCATTAATCATTCTTCATGAGCCTGAGGCCTGCTCATTTTGTCAGCCTTCAGTTTGCATTCTGACAAATAAGTTATATTTAATACTGCCTCATATTTCCCTGTTTTCTTGATAGAGAGTTCTTTGCACAAATTTTAGTCATCCCTGCAGCAGTATGAAGTGCTTGGCATTTGGTGCTGATGAGTGCTGGTAGTACTAGTGCCTCATTCTAGAGACTAGCAAAATAGGTCTTGACAGCAAGTACAAATATTTGAGCCCATCTTACATTTTGCATGACAGTTCAGGTTGCCAGCCTATCAGTTTAATCTGTGTTCCTCTGTGTCACTCTGTGTCCCTCTTCCAGGGCATGTGGAGGAGTGGTAGGCGTGGTGGATGTGCCCTATTTGGTTCTGGAGCCAACCCATAATAAACAAGACTTTGCTGATGCCAAGGAGTATCGACACTTGCTGAAGGCCATGGGAGAGCATTTGGCTCAGTATTGGAAGGATGTTGCAATAGGTAATGAAGCTTCACAATTACCAGGGTCTGGAAGGAGAAATTTGGGTGGCTCGTCGTCAGCCAAAAGTGCAGATGTTGATTTTGTGATAATGGCTCCATATTGAGCAGGATGTGGTTTGTTTTCCAGCCCAGAGAGGTATCATCAAGTTCTGGGATGAATTTGGTTATTTATCAGCAAACTGGAACCAGCCTCCATCTAGTGAACTGCGCTACAAGCGCAGGAGAGCCATGGAGATCCCCACCACAATTCAGTGCGGTGCGTCTGATCCAGCTGCTTCTCTCTGGGGAATGGGAGGGACACTCCTGGCTGCAGATGAGGACAGTTAAATGCATAGGAGATTTGGGATGGACTATCATTAGCCCTTCCTAGGGCCTGTCTTCTCTGCAGTTTGCCTTTGTCTGCACTCAGTGGTATTCTGTGACATCCTGGCATAAGGCTCTTTCCTTCACAGTTCACTAACTGATCTTCACAACTGATCTTCTGACAGAGCAGGGCAGGTATGGCCAGTAGCAGTGTTGAGAGCAGGCTTAGTAATGTCATATGAACTGGAACTCACCAAAGGCACTCATTCCAGCACCAGAATAAGATCTGAAACGTCCTCGCAGGCAATGGGAAGTGGCCAAGTAGTTTGTACCCTGATGCACTGGCCAGCTCTGTGTCAGCACAGAGGGAGCCTTCTACAGTTACCTTGGAATTCAATGCAAGTTCTCTTCTGTTCACATCTAAACAGCTCTGGCTAAGCCCTTGGTAGAGTAATGGGAAGCTCCACACTATCACTTTGTCACCTGGTAGAGGGTCACCAAACTCCCTTATTTTCTCCCTGGGACTTGAGGATGTGGTTGTAGGAAGGAATGTGAGGCCATTCTTGTGGAATTATTTGTTAGGCTCTTCTGCCTTGATGGTTGTCTCAGTCTTTTCAAGGTTCTTCTGAAGGAGGAGGGGCTTTGCTCTCCTTCTTGTCTTCCCTTGTTGCTATCCTTCCAGAGCCTGATTTAAGGACATTTGGATTTTCATGGCAGAACTTGATTTTGTGAAGCTGTTGGTTTCCTGGTAGGCTAGCAATACTCTGGAAGACAAATTTGTGTTCCTGGTTCATCAAAATTTTAATAGAATTTTTTTAAAGTGGATATGTCTGTGATTTGTGTTACTTTGGTATAATTGAGAGACAGTCTGGCTGCTGGGCTGAGCTATGATGTCTGGACTGGCTGTTCAATTCATTTTTTATATGTCATAGTTGCGGCAGGAGTGTGAGGTCCTCTGGTGTTGGTTGGTGCCAGGCTTCATTGCATTTGAGGGTTTGTCTTTGAGGGTTTCATTCAAGCATTTTGTGAGCACAAAGAAATAATTGACTCAATATATTCTGTGACTGTCTCACTTGTTTTTGGCCACTTACTGTTGTTGGTGTGGTCCTTGGGCATTAAACGGGCTATGGGAAAAAATGATATGTCTCAGGCTGTGTATTTCTAACTTGCAAAGTGTGTGTCTGACAGATGTCTGTCTGAAGTGGCGGACTCTCCCGTTCCAGCTGAGCTCAGTGGAGAAGAACTACCCTGATAGCTGGGTGTGCTCCATGAACCCTGATCCTGAACAAGACAGGTAAGAATCAGTTCATATTAAGACTTTTCTGCAAGGTGCTTTATCTGTACATTTGGAGCTTTTTCCTGGTCGTCTATTCTTTGAAAACAGTTGGAGGCATTCTGTACCTTTAGGTTGTACTCACAGTCTGTGAAAATGCAGCAATGGCAATTGTATAGGGACCTGAATGCTGAGTGGGCGTTTGCAATGTGCAAATTGCAGAGGACATCCTCAGCAAGTGACAGGTGACACCAAACTGGGAGGAGCAGCTGACAAACCAGGCAGTCACAGATCCCTCCAGAGGGACCTGCAGGTTGCAGAAATGAGCCAGTGGAAACCTATCCTGACATTCAACTAGGAAAATGCAAAGTCCTGTCCTTAGAGAGGACAGCCCCAGCACTGGTGTGTGCTGTCCATCCCAGAGCTGATCAGGCTCAGGGCATTCTCATCAATGTATAGAAACATATAAAGGCAGGCTGCAAAGAGGACAGAGCCTGGCTCTTCCCAGTGGTGCCCAGTGGCAGGACCAGACACCAGGAGCACAAACTGGAATGCTGGAGCATCCCTCTGCACATCAGAAACACTTTTTTCCCTGTGAGGGTGACCAAATCTTGGCCCAGGTTTCTCCATCCTTGGAGATATTCCAGGATATGGTCCTAGGCTCCTGGTGCTGGGTGGCCCTGCCTGAGCAGGGTGGAACCAGGTAGACCCCAGATAGCTGCCTCTAGCCTATCAACCAAGTGATATGGTGAAATTTGAATAATTGGTTGTTTTTCTGCACTGACACCAGAAATACTATTATAGGTTTAGATTATATTAATTTTGCCATGGGCAGGATAGATCCCCAGGGGGATTGGGATCTTTGCACTTGCCCAAGTCCTTTCTGCCTAGAGACACCCACAGTTTCACCTACACCCCTATACCCATCTCCTTCAGCTGGGAGACTCACCCATGTCTCTAGTGATCAGCTCCTGTAGGTCACCCTTAGACATCCCCTCCCCTGCCCCCAGGTAACCTTCTGGTTAGCTTCTCTGGCCTGACATTCCTGTGGCTCATGTTCATTCACTTGCCTGTAGTCACAGCAGCTGGTGGCACTTAGGCACATGAGTCACTGGGACCGATGGTCCCGCTCCAGCTGCTGGCACTTGCACCCCAGTACACAGGTACGCATGCGGAACAGAGGCCCTCATCTAGGAAAGGGGGAGACACGGAGGTTAGTACACAGAGGTGTACTGACCAGCCAAAGGTTTATATGCCTGCCTCTTGTTGTAGTGTTTTTTTCCCATATTTGTTCTTCCCAAATAATCTCAGTCCTTTACTTGCTTTTGGTTCCTCGTGTTGGTCCAAAAGATGTTTCAGAGGGTTGCCCCCATTGACCAGACACCGGGGCTGAGGCAGCCGTAGGACAGTCTTGGCAGGACCCCAAAAGGGGTTTCTGTTCCTCTGAAAAGATTTGCATTCCACAATTCCCAAAAAGTCCAGTTCACATCCCCTGAGCTGCCTTTGGACCTCTGGGCTTGTGGAAATGGACCCTAGATGGGCTGGTAGCTTCTGGGATGGCAATTCCTGGGATGGCCTGAGGGTAGCCATGGAAGGGTGTTATTCAGGTCTCCTCACCTGCCATTATATTTGTGCACTTCTGTCTGCAGATGGGGTCTTTATTGTATCACCTACCAGGAACTTGATTTACTGATGAAAGAATTTAGATTTTTTTATTTGCAATACCTTGAAAATTGGGGGTGGGTGGCTGCTTTTCATGTGAGAACATGTTGAGGTGTTGTTTGGAGTGGGTCCCAGTACCTCTGCAGTGTATGCTGTACCATCCTACATCCCCCATGCAGGAAGCTGAGAAAGGGCAGGTGGGACACTTGGCACTGGTGAGCCAAACTTCTGGTCATTTTAGCTTTGAAAGGGATCTCAGGAGTCTTACTCTGGGAGAATAAATAACTCCAGGACATTTTTTGATTAAGTAGGCTTACATGTGCTTTCCAGCAGTGAGTGCAGTTGCGTCCTTTACGTGGAGCAGAAGTTTCACCAGCACTCCTCTGGCTTTTGGCTGGGGCAAATTCCAGGTGCTGCACTGTTGGATCCTTGTGCAGAGTTTGGATGCCTTCTTATCTGTGTCCTGACCATTACAGATATTTGTAGTGTCTGAAGGATGACAGGATTTGAGAAGCACATGGGTGGCATCCTCAGGTTTGTGTACTGTGAGGCTCTGTGCAGGGTCTCATCCAGCCAAATTGGAAATGAAGCAATGTCAGAGCAATGTCGGGTGTTGAGACACTCCTGGCATCAGAGGTCATATGGTAGTTTTGGCTGCCTCGGCACAGTGTCTACTATTGGCACTGAGCTGTTCTCTGCCCTTCTGCTTTGTCCACCTACACTTCAGTGGCTGCTCGTGGTGTGGTGTTCCTGATCATGGGAGCTGAATGCACTTCTCAGTGTGTGTCATGGGAAGCAGTTACTCCCTCCAGTGCCACTGTCTGTGTTGATGTCAGCACCAGGTGCCACCATCGCTCACTTTATTACAGAGAAGGCAGTGTCCCTGTTTCACACTGTGAAGTAACGTCAGGCTTGCTTGCCTCAATTTTCCTATCGGATATCCAGTTGGATCCCAAATGTCATTTGAATGGGTGGCTGAAGCACCAGCCAAAGATGTGTGTGTCTCAGAGCTCCCTGAGCACTGTCAGAGTCTTGGTTTTAGTCCATTCTGACTACCAAGATAAAATACATTTGTTCAGATTTGCTCCCTCCAGTGATGCAGTCTCTGGGTTTGGATGCCATGAGTAGTCTGAATTTTTCTTTACACAGAGCTCAAAGTGCTTTTGTTCTTTACTGTGCTGTAAGACACAGCTTGGCAATGCTTCCAGCCTTGCCATGAGCTGGAAGATGCATTTCTGTGCTGAGAAACCTGTTTAAGGTGCCACTTGTTCAACTTTATCTTTGGGAACGGCAGGTTTCATGTCAGGTAGTCATTTTGCAGTGATGATACACACTTCCTTAGCCAAGGAAGTAACCATGAAAAGTGCATCAGCAGGGAAGAGGCTGATGGAGGAACTGCTGCTTGTGCTCCTTCTCACTCACAAAACTGATCAGAGTGTATCTGGTAGATAGAGATCTTGATAGAATCATCTGTCCCCAGCTTCTTGGAGCTTTGAGCGTTCTACAGTGAGAGCAGGGTTCTCCCTTTACTAGTAAGACTCACATCTGCAGGTTACCAGCTTGGTTCCAGTGCAGAGTGAGATCTGCTGGATCTCTTGGGTTGTAAAAGGGCTGTCTGTTGCTTTTCTGTCTCAAATCATTCTTCCATGACTTTACCCCAGCATCGCTGATCCTTGTCTGCCTTGTCACTCTGTTTGGTGACAGGAGATGGGCCTGGGCTCAGTCCCCTCTTCCTCCTCTGGCAGTGCTCCTGAGGGCCAGCTGCTCATCCAGCACATCCAAGGTGATGCCAGTCCATTTGAGAGAGTACTTCCTACCTCTATTTTCCTTCTCTCTCAAGGACTCTTCCAGAATTCTGCACCTGAGAGGACCTGGAAGAGTAGGATACTCACCACTGTTGTAGGCCATGGGCTGAACAGCCACAGGAAAGCAAAGGACAAAGGAAATAGCTACAGGATATTGTAAAGGACACTGCCTGGCCTTGAGTGGCAAGGCGGAAGGCATCTGAGACTGGAAGGCTTGTGGTAACATCTTAGCCATGGGTTTCTGGTACTGTGCTTTCCTTTATGAAGGGAGAGAAGTCTGTAGAAAGAAGAACTGATATGAATAAATAAGCTGATAGGAAGGAAAATCGCTGAAAAAGTCTGGAGTACAGATGCAGTACAGAAGCTGTCACAACTGTCACAGTTCCTGGGCTCTGAATTGGTGATTTCCGCGTAAATGCCTTTTTATTAGCAACTATGCTTTTGATCCTTAATTCATATATCTTTTCCAAGATGAAAACCACTGCTTTTGAGATTGTGACTACTGCAGAAAGGCAAGTGGCTCTCCTGCTGCATTTGGAATGGGATGTTGGGATAATCCTGTGTGAGATGATACAGGTTCTGCTGTCCTTGCTGAGGTTGTCTTGCCTTCCCTCCGTGCTAGATGTGAGGCTGCAGAGCAGAAGCAGAAGGTACCACTGGGAACTCTAAAAAAAGACTTGAAATCAAATGAGGAAAAGCAGAAACAACTGACAGAGAAAATCCGCCAGCAGCAGAAAAAGCTGGAAGCTCTGCAGGTGAGTCTGGAGGTCTCCAGCTAAGCAGAGCAAGTGTGATGGACTTCTGTGTGCAAAGGGCTGCTGCTGAGTCTGAAACCATCTATGCGCCTTCATGGGGCTGGGGCTATTGTGATAACAGAAATTTACCATCTCAGCTTGCATTTAATTTTCTGTTGGGAAAATGGAAATGACAGCTGAAGGGATGTCTTTTGAAGGACACAAAACACACCATATAATTGTTGGGTTTAGCCTGGAAAACTGCTGGGATGGGTTCAGGCAGCCCCTGGCAGCTTGTAAACATGACCTTTCTGATTTGTTTTTTTTTCTTGTTGTTGTTTTGTTTGGTTGTGTTTTTGTTTTTGTTGTTTTTTTTTTTTTTTTTTTTTTTTTTTTTTTTTTTTTTTTTTTTTTTTTTGTGGTTTTGTTTGGTTGGTTGGTTTTTTGTTTGTTTTTTGTTTTGTTGGTTTTTTTTTTTTGTAGAAAACCACTCCAATTCTATCTCAAGCTGACTTAACGAGACTGCCTCTGGAAGTGACTACACGGCCTTCAAGGGAGGTAAATTGGATCCTGCTGTAGCCTTTTTACTCTTTTATGCTTCCTTAGCTGTTCTGAACAGCAGTTCCCCACTCTTGTACACTTCTTCTCTCTCTACCCTCCTTTGTTTCAGCACACCCGAACTCAGCGCCCACGATCTCCTCCTTTGCCTGATGTAATCAAGAATGCTCCCAGCAGGCCACCAGGATCTTCACCTCCTCACAAGTCCTGCACTCACCTGAAAAAGAGCTCTTTAGATCGTCCAAATACCAGCTCCCCCAAGCTAGCCAGCAGGCTCTTCAAGGAGGAGGCCAGCACTTCCAGGACACACCATCACACTGTGACAGCTGGGAAGTCCAACAGCACTTTAAAAACTCTTGCCAAACCAGGTACAAGCATGAAGTCGCGCTCTGGCCAACAGAGCCCCAAAAGCTCACGTGAGACACCCAATCCAAAAGCAGCCAAGGTGCCAGCAGTAAGGAAATCTGCCTCTGGCAGATGTTTACAGGTAAGAATCAATGGGATGAAACCCCTCAGCTCTTCACCCACTGTCTTGTAAGCCTATCTGTTCTGTATTGTGATCTGTGCACTGTGGGCACTGCACAGGACAAAAGAACTTTACTCTTGGGTTAGGGTGCCATTTATACCCCTTGAGAAGACTGGTCTCATCTCTTTCCTGTTAGACCAGATTGTTTCTCCAGGAAAAAAATGTGTGGAGTGGTGGGGTGAGTGAGTGTTTGCATGATGATGTAGCACCTCTAAAATCTTCAAGAAAAGCTCATTAACTACCAAATTAAATAGTGGATGTTGGTTTTTTAAATTTTTTTTTGGGGGGGGGGTATTTGTTTTTTTAACTTGGCTGCAAGAAGGTTTTGGTTGGAAGCAGGCTGGAATTAATAGCTTGTTTGCTTCCTTCAGGCCTCCAGCACTCGAAAGAGGGCCTTGAACATCCCAGAGGATGGCTCTGAGGAGGAGGGTGAGCCCAAAAAGGAGAGGACAAAACGAGGAAAATTTTTGGCAGTGAAAGAGGAGAAGGATTCCAATGAGGTGGTGGTAGAGGTAAGAGTGTGCTGGTTTCCCCAGCAAAAGGTACTTGTCAGGTGTTTATAATCTTGATGGGAGGTGACTAATGTGAGCTCTCTCTGCTCCCAGCTCACAGACAGTGCTGGAGAGGAGGAGTTGTTGGAACTGAAGAAAGCACAGAAAGGTAAGAAATGAGCCTTTGGGCTGCCGCCAGTATCTGACGTAGAAAAGAACTGTAGTACCAGTCAACTGTATGATTTCATTAATGAGATTTTAAAATAAAAAATAGCGTAGATTTGAATTCCAAACCCCAAGATTACTCTGACTTGCATGAAAAATTTTGGTTGAGAACCCTTTGATTAGACCAGTGGCAATTGTGGCACGGATAGGTCTGTGATCGATGGTTGTGTCATGTTGTCAGGGGTGGGGCTGGGCTGCAGAGTGTACCTGTTGCCATGTTCACCCATCCTGAGTGGATCATGCAGCCATGTCAGCTGGAAAATGCTCAGGACTGTATCGAGATCTGCTGCACTGCTGTGAGAGAAGAGTGACTGGGAGAGCCCAGGAAAGGTAATAGCTGGGGTGGTACTGCACCATCTGCCAGAGCAGGGCATCTTTTCAGCATGCTTCCAGGGAGCTGTCTGGAAAGTGGCCCACTAGGGACATGTGGTAAATTTTCCTAGACCCATCAAGAGACTGTAAAGCCAATGTCAAACAGCTTGGAGTACAGGAGAAATCTCCCTTCTGGAATTGCCAGCTCATTTCCATGCATCTTCATGTTTCTCAGCAGGAGCTGACCTGTGTGCCCATTGTGTTTTGATGGTGTGTGTACTGTTTGAGGGCATTGTCACAGGCGTGCTCCGTGCTGAGGTGCCTGAATCTCTAGAGTTCCTGTGGAATGTGCTTTCCAGCAGCTGAATGTTTACAAACACCTTTGCTTCCCTCTCACAGATAAGGGGCTGCACGTGGAAGTGCGTGTGAACAAGGAATGGTTCACAGGGCGTGTCACAGCAGTGGAAAGGGTCAGGCATGCAATCCGGTGGAAGGTGAAGTTTGATTATGTACCTACAGACACCACACCAAGGGATCGCTGGTAACTATCTTGAGCTACTGAATTTTGGAGGCTTGGGGTTGTTTTTGGGAGGAAGGGCCTGTTTTATTGCCATAAATACTGAAGACAAATATGCTGCTGTCATGTCAGGAAACACGTGAGGTCAGGACTGTCCAGGGCTTCATAAGGAATGGGCATGACAGACTCCATCAGTCTGTCATTCTGATGCCAGCCCTGGAGGCAGCTGTTGTGTATGTAGAGGTCTGTGTGACACTTAGGTACAGGTTCTGCTGAAACTGTTAACTGTGTTTCAGGTATGTCCAATGTAAAAAAAGATTCCTGACATTCCCTTAATTCCCTTTTTCTCAGGGTAGAGAAGGGCAGTGAGGATGTAAGGCTTATGAAGCCTCCCTCTCCTGACTACCAGGCTCCAGACACACAGCAGGAAGAGGAGGTGGTCATGGCTGAACCTTCTACCTCAGATTGCATCAGAATCGAGCCTGACACCACTGGTCCCAGCAGCAGCCAAGAAACAGTTGACTTACTAGTCCAGATCCTTCGGTGGGTTCACTGCAAATCTTGTGAGCTCTGCAGTCTGATTGCTTCAGTCTGTTAAACTCCCAGCTCTGGCTTTGCCTTTTGTTTTCCTGCATAGGAATTGTTTGCGATACTTCTTGCCTCCAAGTTTTCCAATCTCCAAGAATGAGCTGAGTTCCATGAGCTCAGAAGGGTTGTTGGCATTTCCCCTGGTGAGTTCAGTACTTCTAGAAAAGTAAGTTTATGTGTTTTCCCCACACATACTCCATTCTTGTGGCAAATGTGCATCTTGATAATGCAGGAGCGCACTCTTGAAAAAATAATTTGGATCCTTGGCAGACTAACATAGCTGAGGAAAAGAATGAGAGCTCTGAGAGATGCCTTGGGTCTTGTAAGAGTTGTCTGAGGATTTTTTAAATTACCATGCAAGTGTGTGGGAATGCTGTTGTCTGCTACTATCTTAAATTCTTAACCATTGTTGTTAAACTTCTAAAAAAGAGAGACCAGGTTACAGGCTTGTAGAAGCAGGAGGTAGACATATCTGCTTGTTTTGCTCCCAGCCTTATAACTTATCTGGAGACAATCTTATAAATAATAACAAATAATTATCCCCAGATTCACAGAATATTCTGAGTTGGAAGGAAGCCACGAGGATCACTGAGTCCAACTCCTGGGTAAATGGCCCATACAGGGTTTGAAGCCACAACGCTAGTGTGGATTCAATCCCTTTATAGGCCATTTACTTTAATGTGAGAGAACATGGAAGTAAACCCCTTCCAACTTCCCCTGGAGAGCAGGTTGACTGCCAGCAAGTCAGCTGCACGCTTTAAGACTTTTGACCTCTGTTTATTTGAGCACAGGACAGGTGGGACTGAGCTTCCACCAGCAGCCTGGTACTAGGAGGAATCTTACCTGGTACTAGTGCTGGCTGGAATGCAGGGCAAGGGAACTGGCCTCTCTTACTTTTTCCTTCTCCAACATACCACCAAGAGAGACTTTTCCAAGGAGGCACATGTAAAAAGCCACCTGCAGATGAGCACATGACCAAAGCCAGTTCTGTTTTGCACTCCCAGACTTGGCAGTGTGTGTATTGGCAGTCTCTCTTGTCTCCTCCCCTTCTATTAAATCTGGCATCTGCTGGCATTTGCTGGAGTTACTATTCCTGCTTCTTCCATGGGACACCTTGGTTGTGTCTGGGGCTTTTGGTTACTGTAGCTGTCCCTTTACCTTGCAGTGAGAGGCTGTGATGTCTGAGTGATCTGTACCAAGGATACTCACAGTTTACAGGAGATGTCAGGCCTACAGCATACCTGTGGGTTCATGCCTTTTAAAGAACACTGCACCCTTAATCTAAATTCAAGCAGCTTTGAGGGCAGTTCTGGTATTGGAAGAATGTGAAAAGCTGGGTGAATTCTGTGCTGGCTGGTATAGGGAAATCAGATATAAATACGAGTGTGGGCAGGGTGTGCAGGGGCACATTGCAGGGAGGATTTGATCATGGGGGCCAGGAGTTTGAATCTTCTACAGCGTGTGAGTGCTCATGTTTTTGTGATGCTTGATGCTTTCTCTTAACATGACATCTGTTGTGTTTTGTCTACTACAGAAAGAATATTTTAAGCAGTATGAGGTGGGTCTGCAGAACCTGTGCAATTCATACCAGACACGTGCCGATGCCCGGGCCAAAGCCTGTGAGGAAAACCTCCGGAACTTAGAAAGGAAGCTGAGGGAAACAGAGGAGAAACTGCAGAAGTTGAGGACTAATATCATGGTCCTTCTACAGAAAGTGCAGGAGGTGGGTGAGGAGTAGCAGCAAATCCTGAGCTGTCTCAGAATAGCCTGGCTCATCCCCTCCAGGCATTACAAGTGTTTTACTCCAGTGTCTCACTGGGCTCCAACTTCCTCAGTTGGGAACAGCTTGGGCTGTCACTACCCACACTTGGGATCCAGGCCGTGGCAGTCTGATGTGTGTTATTTCTCACAGAATGATTTCTCGTGGTGTATTTCTCATGTAATGCACAGGTTCTGTTTGTTCTCTGTTGTGAGGCTGCTTGAGAATTTCCCCAGGCACAGGCATAGACAGTGCCCATCAGGGAATTTTTGCCACAATCTTGGGCAGATTCTGAACTCCACATACAGAAATGCAAACCTTTAAACAAACAATATAGAAAAAGTATTGTGGAGAAATTGATACATTAGTTATACTATTAAATTAAAATAGAAAATATATAATTAAAACATTTAAATAAATAAACTAACTTTAAACTAAAAAACTACTTCAATAAAATCAGGATCAACCTGGAAAGGCTACTGAAAGCATCTGGAAGCAGTTTCTCCCTGTTAGGAAAAAGTGTTAAATCTAAAAGAACCCCAACCAAACCTGCCTCGACCAAAATCAGTACAGTAAATCCATCACTTGAGTATGTTGTTTGAGCATCAGGTGCTGATGGGTTTCCTGTGTTGTCTTTGGATGCTGACAGGGAAAGCAAGGGATGCTGTCACTGCAAGCTGTCAGCAGCTGGAGGGTGCTGGAGGTTGAGGCATAGAGGTTGAGCAGGCCAGATGTAACAGAGGGTGCTAAGCTGCTCTGACTCTTCTTTTCTTGTGCTGTTCCTCAGTGTTCACTTCTCACTGGTATTCCTTGTTGTTTTGGTTTCAGGACATTGATATTAATACAGATGATGAACTGGATGCATATATTGAGGACCTGATCATGAAAGGAGATTGAGCAGCTCCAGTACAAGTCCTGGAGAAGTGCAGAAGAGCTGGCTGCTGCAAAGCGAGATGTGAATCTCTGTGCGGGTGGACTGAGGCAGGTGATGAGGAGAGAGTTTTTTAGACAGTGCTCATGTTGGTGTACAACTTGTTCCTGTGGCTGTACATGAGAAACATTTGTGCTGTTGGCAGGAAAGTTTTTAACTTTGTAGTTCTCTGAATCTCTTCCTTTTGTTTATAAATATTTATTTTTAAAAGAAATGGGAACTGTGCCTGATACAATGGGTGTTTTTAGTGATGTAGAAGTGTGAGTACCCCTTTTGCAACTCAAGTATATTCATATGCTGAACCTGGGAGCTCGGAGCACCCTGCTTAGCTTACTGGTTCTCCAGCAAAAACCTGGCAGCAATTAAAAAATAAGCCTTGAGTTGTGGCAGAGGGTGTCAGGCTTTTTTTGTGGAAGATACTGAACTTGAGGTAGAGAAAGCAAAGCCATGAATTGGAGCTATAGAAAGGAGATGTCCATTTATGAGTGTGAGTAGACGGGATGGAACTTTGGTGGAACTTGGAAATTTGGCAATGGCACCTGTAATGAGCTTCCTGAACAGGAGGTTGCTGCAAGTGGGTGAAACTGCCACCATGGTAATAGCTAAGAGTCTGAGGGTCCTTCTAGAAGAGGATCACCTCCTGGACTGCTCACAGTGGGCTGTGAGCATCAGAGGAAGAATGCTGGCCTTCGGGTTCTCTGCTTGCAGTCACTTTATCACTCACTTCTGCTGCTGTTTCTTTGAGACATAATTACAGCAACAGAGGAGCTCCTCGTCCACCTGACAATAAAGTGACCTGTGTTCTATTTTCACCTCCTCAGGTTTGTGTTGCTTTGATCAGTTTGCTCTACCAGGTAATTTTATTATTAGAGATTTCTAATTATTAGAGAGAGGCTGTTTGGGGCCTTTGGAGCCGTACACCGCTGATTGGCATCTGGCACTGTGCCCGCAGCAAGGAAAACACCTGTCCCTTATCCTTCAGCAGCCAAGTCGTGGTAGGCAACTTTTGGCCAAGGGAACTCGGTCAGAGTTTGTCAGCTGGCCAGCAGCTTCTCAGGCCTGCTAGGACAAAGTGTCTGTGGACTCCTGTTCGGAAACTGGAGTCCCCTGTGGGCTAGATGGTTGTAAACATGGTGTAAAGCAAGAGGTACCCACTAACAGAGAGGTTAGGTGGAATGGACCCTGGGTGTTGACACCTGGATGTGTAATAGATGTTTTGCAGCAAACCCTTCCAAATTAAATATCTGTTACACCAAAAATCTTTGGCTCTAATTGTTTATAGACCTGAAGAACTCCCAAGTTTCTACACACCGCTGAAGAGGGGAAAGGCTTTTGCTTATTACTTGAATTCCAGTTGCTTGTCACAGCACATGGTGAGACTGACTCCTTCCATCCAGAATCTGGGCCAGACATCCCACAATAAATAAAGTTAAGGAGTATTCCCCTGTCCTCATGCACCTTCCTCAGAAAGCGGCAAGCGCGTTCCTTAAGCAAAAGAACATACTCCGCCAGTCACCATTTCCTCACACGTACTGGAGGTTTATTAGTTGTGATGATACACTGCAGTTTCTGATGAAAATAATCTGGAGAAGATGCATTTTTTATTAAGGTGGAAGAAGTCTTTGTCCTTCCCAGGAGACAGCAGACATTCTAAAGAAGGAGATTTTGTTATATTGCAGTTCAGAGCTGCTGCTGCACACAGGCTTTAATTTCTGACACCTAGAGGCACCAGTATAGGGCTAACTGTTCTTACACAGTTCTTGAGCTTCCTGGCACAGTTTGATTTCCTATTTCTCCTATGTTAGGAAAGTGCAATTGTTTTGAGGTTTGTTTTTTTCTCCTCTGTTCTGTGGAACTTCTCATTTCCAGTTTTAACTCTTTTTTTTTTTTAATGCATTTTATTTTTTTTATCTTCTACCAAGGTATTTTACTAAGAAGAGCAACCCAAGAACTTTTAAGTGCCAGTAAAATAACGTTTTCATTCTCAAACTCTTTTGGACAATGCTCTGGAGCTGCTTTTTTCCTTTTCTTGATTTTGTTTCCATACATTTGTTAAGCAGTCTGTGTTTAACACCAGGTTTTAGTAACACCTCTAAAACCCATAGGCTCAGAATGCCTCCAGAGGGGATCCAAACTCCTGGCTCCAAGTGGGGTATATTCCAAAGCTTTATCAAGTGGTTCTGGGCATTTTCCTGTTGAGCTCTTAAAATTAGTGGTGGAGACTGCCCCACAGCTCTGCACCACACACCACTTTCATGGGTGTTCTTCCCTGGTATCACACAGGGATGTCCCTATCACATCTTGAAGGTCATTCCAGCTGCCATCAAAAACTTGTCCCCTGCCTGTAACCCTGTCATAATACCTCCGTCCTGCATCCTCTTGATGCCTCAGATGTTCCCCTAAGTCTTCCTCTTCACTTTCAGCTGTTTCTTACAGCAGAAATACTAAGGACATGAGTTTCATTTTGTACAACATTCCCCTTCCCCTCTGTATGGCCAGCTTAATCCCTTCTTTATACATTCCATAGTTGAAATTTCTCCCAGAGCTGTCAGCTGGATACTTCATGCCAGCTCACTTCTGGGGAGGCTGCGTGCTCCAAAATTACTGTTTTGCTCTAAAGAGAGAGGGCTTCAACAACTCCCCTTTCTTCTGCCAATGAGAGAAATGGATACCTGGGGTTGAAAGTGAAATAAAAAAAGAAATGTTCTATTAACAAAAGAAATTTACAAAAAAAAAAAAAAAAGGTGCCAACAAAGCACCTTTATTGCCCACAAAAGTGGGAAATAAAAAAGAAAAAAAAAAAAAGGAAAAGGAAAAGGATTTTGAGCCTTACACCACACCCGCATCTCACCGCGTGGCAGAGGCAAAGGTGGCGACCGCTCTTCTATATCTATGGGAACGGGAGGAGAAAAGAGTTCACAGCAGCTGGGAACCTGTTGAATTTCTGGCGTGGGTCTTCTCCTTGCAGCAGCCGATGTTGGAGTCTCAGGTTCGGGATGGTCCCGCCAGCTCCCCGGACGGCCGAAGAAAGAAAAAAAAAAAAAAAAGAAAAACCCAAGCCAAAACAGTTCACAGAAAAAGAATCAAATCGCTGAGAGGATTCCCAGTACAGCCTCTAAGCTAGGGAATGAGAAGGGAAAAAACTTTTTGCTCCACTCTGGGGGGCGGGGGAGACAGATAACAATCCAACAAAAGAACAATGTAGCCTCCCAGTGAAGTAAGTGGGCAGGAGATCTTTCTCCTTTTTAATGCCTTTATTAAAAAGAATCAGCTGAGGTGGGGAGAAATCAACGGGTCCCACCTGTTATGAATAAAAAGTTATCTAAATCTCCCGTGAGGACGCAGTCCCCAGCTCTGCCGGCAGACCAGCAGACAAAGCTGCATCATCCTTCTCCTCCGTGCCACTCTTGGGGACAGCGGCGGCGTGGGCGCGACCCGTCGATTTCTCCCCACCTGAGCTGAATCTCTTTAATAAAGGCATTAAAAAGGAGAAAAGATCTCCTGCCCTATTTATTTCAGCGCCCACGCCGCCCTGCTCCCAGGGCAGCTTTGTCCGCTGGTCTGCAGGCAGAGCTGGGGACTGCATCCTCATGAGAGATTAGCAGATTCTGCCTTTTTGGTCCAACACTTCAGGTCCTCTCCCTAGTGAACATCCTTTGAGGTCAGGGTGAGAAGCAAAAAGGATCCAAGCAGGCACTGGACTTCACGCCCATCCTTAGACATCACCTAGGTCCCCTAATTCTATATTGGCTCGTTGTTTTTAGGGGTTTTCCTGGAAAATTGTAAAATTTGGTGCAATGCATTTCTCATCTGCATACTAGCTCTGATGCCACTCCCATTCTCCTGGTGCTGCAGGGTCCAGGTGTCTCTCCCTGGCAAGCACCAGGGGGACAATGGCTAATCACCAACCATTAACAGGCAATTGAAGAAGAACTCTTTAACAATGAAGCTAACTTAATAGCAACTGGTCCAACCGATTTTAACTCTGCAACCTTAAAAAATATAGGTAACTTTTTATTCATAACACCCAGCCCACCCTGTCTGGAGAACCGGGAGAGAGAGAGCTTGAACACAGCCCATGCAGGAACCCAAGGCTCTCTGCCCCACACCCGGATCCATATTAAAGCTGCAGCACACATTTTCTGGGCATAAAGCAGACGCTTAGGGAATAAAGCATCATCATAAAATGATGATGGCAAGTACCAAATTCCCCAAAAGATAAGACACGTTGGAGGAGGGCACAATGAGTGGGGTTACCTTTGTGCTAGTCACTTACCTTTTTCTGTCCTTTCTCCAAACACTCCTTACCAGGTGATTCCCTGCAGAAATGCATGGTGACTAATCAGACTAGTGATCAGATGCAAGGCTCTGGGTGGAAAGAAAGTTGGCCAGAGTTAGAGAAAAGCAGCTTCTTGCACGTGAGCAAAAGGAAACAGCCCTTTTCCAGAGCTGTGTGTGGAGGGGTGAAGGAGAATGGCCGCTTCTACTGTGTGCTTGGATTATAGGTGAGAGCTGGATCTTCTGGGTACAGAAGAGTACTTTGTGAAAAGGCTTTCTTCAGCCATAAGAATCTTTTCTTGTCCATCGGCATCTGATATCTTTGCAGGCCTTAGTGAGGGAGTAACTTGACCACAAAGAGTCCTGTTTCCCCTGCAGAAGCTTTGTGTGGCCTGGCAGCAACCAGACAGTGTCGGGGTGGGGGGAGTCCACAACTTGGACAACACCTGCTTCATAAGCTTTGTCTTGCAGCATTTGATATACATGCTGACACTGGCCGGTGCCACTTGCTCACCTAGGAGCAGAGCTGGTCATATGAGTCCTTGCTCAGTCAGCTCTGAGGGATGGAAAAACAGCAGTGATTCTAGGAAGATAGATCTCAATTTTTCTCTAGAAGCTGCCTTTGGGTGTTATGATCAGAAAAGGTTCAGCAGAGCATAGGGAGCATGTTGTTTGATTTCATAAACTCATGGAATCCCAGTTTGGAAGGGACCTCAAGGATCCAGCACCAACCTTTCCTGGAAAAAGCAAAATCTAGACAAGACTGGCCCAGCACCCAGTCCAGCTGAATCTCAAAAGTGCCCAATGTTAAGGAATCCACTATAGGATACGCAGGACAACCCCAACGAAGGGAGAAAATTATGCATCTGACTCCACTGATATCAGAAAGCTAATTAATTATTATACTATATTACACTACATCTAAACTGAATCTGCACAAGCACTCAACTCCACTGAACTGGATCTCGTGACTGTCTGCTGACTGAGAGTCTGCACACACACTTGGCCCTGATAGGCCAAGGAAACAAAACACCATCACTTTGGGTAAACAATCTCCAGAATACATTCCACAAGAGCACAAGAGGAGCAGCAATAGAGATAAGAATTGTTTTTTCTTTCTCTGAGGTTCCTCACTGCAATTCCCAGAAAATATCCTTGGGAAGTTGTGCCTTGCTTTTCTCTGTGAAGAGAAATGAGGCCATGATCCACTACTTCCCTGGGGTGATTATTCCAGTGTCTGATTGTGTTCTCATCGTGGAAAATTTTCCTCTGCATCCAATTGGAACCTCCCCAGGAGTAACTTGCATGCATAAATGTGCCATGCTCAAAGTTTCAAGGTCATTCCTAGCTTACTGTGACTGATGAAGTTCATTTGAAAGGATGTTGTCATTTGGATTTCCCGTTGTTGCCAGAAAGATGCTAAAATGGAGGACATGGGCATCCTGGATCCTCAGCATTGCTTCACACCTTGTTTCTATAGTGCCCTGCCACTGTGCTAAGTGACATGGTTAGTCACCGGTGAATGATGAGGAGGGGGAAAAAACTCGAACTAAACCAGCCCTGAAAAGACACATCAGGTGGTACAAAATCAATCAGAAACTGGTGTGGGATTCCATTAAAAGCTGGAATTTTATGGAGGGGAAAAAAAATCATTCCTCTTTTGTCAAACCCTTTTACATACAGGTAAAACTGTATAAAAGAAAGACCTTGTAAAAAATAGTTCAGTCCTTGCTAATCGAACTAAGCTAGACTGTTAAGTTTCCTTAAGAAAATAATTATAAGAATGAGAATCAGTTTGCATAACAATCTATTCTTGCAAGAAAACAGTTTGCACCTGCAAAAATAAGTCTATCCCATGAGAATCTGTGAAGAAACAATGTAAACACATCTAGAAAGAAAAAAGTTCGATGGACATGTACACTAGCCATTTGTGAGTGTCTGTCCAAAATTTCCCTCATTCTTTGCCTCTCGATCGTCATGG